AATTGAAGACATTTTGATTAAATCAAATAAGAATTTCTAGTTATCGTGATAAGACTCGATTTTTTATAACTAGAACGTTTAATAGATTTTACTAGGATTTGGTTAGTATTTTCTAGTTGGATCTATACAATTTCTTGTTGCATTAACTTTTTTGCTTGCTTCTTAACTTAACTCGTATTCAATATTTGCCATGAAATGTATATAAATAACTAGTATTAACATTAAATCCAAAGTATATTTTTTTTCTCTTACGAGCAGTAGTGCCAGAAATAGGATGCTAGCTCTTTGATTGTGTGTGTTTGAGCTGCATCCTCTTCTTGCATCACTGTTTATCAGTTTAATTTCTAACAAACTGAATTTAAAATAATTTATTCAATAATCTGGATTTAATTTATCCAATAATTTTGTTGGAATTCAGAATATTAAACAGACTTTTGAGATTAGATGGAAACAATTTTAGACGACTGATGCTGGGAAGTTTAATATTATTAACCAGAAAATTTGGTAAATTTAACAGGAAGAAATTAATCAGATTCATCTGGTAATTCCTACAAAAATTCTGGTTTGTCCATTTTTTAACAGTCATACTGATTGAATCTACCAGAATTCTAATTAATGCAACCAGATTTTTTTCTCAGTGTGTAATTGCCATCTCAAGAATCTATAATTATTTAATTCTTTAAAGAAATTTAAGAAAATTTAATTCTTTAAAGAACTTTAAGAAAATTACAATCTTTGATTTAAAAATGTTATTTAACATTGTTTCCTTTCCACTCAAGAAAATTAAATCTTAAATCATAAGAATATATTTTTCTTGATTACACTATACAGGGTATATCTGAAATGATGCACTAAACTTTAGGAGCGAATTCTAGAGGTCAAAATAATAAGACTTCTTTTTCCTACGAACATGGTCTACGCAAATGAACTCTGTTCCGCTAGAGCTAGAGGCCTCTAAAGTTTGGGGAAAAAATTGAAAATTGGAATTGAGAATTAAATAAACTTTTGAGATTAGAGGGAAAAAATTTTAGACGACTTGGTGCTGGGGAGTTTAATATTAACTAGAAAATTTGGTAAATTTAACAGGAAGAAATTAATCAGATTCATCTATTAATTCCTACAAGAATTTTGGTTCGTCCATTTTCCAACAGACATACTGGTTGAATCTACCAGAATTCTAATTAATGCAACCAGATTTTTTTCTCAGTGTGTAATTGCCATCTCAAGAATCTATAATTATTTAATTCTACTTTAAGAAAATTACAATCTTTGATTTAAAAATGTTATTTAACATTGTTTCCTTTCCACTCAAGAAAATTAAATCTTAAATCATAAGAATATATTTCTCTTCATTGCACTATACAGGGTGTATCTGAAATGATGCACTAAACTTTAGGAGCGTATTCTAGAAGTCAAAATAAGACATTTTTTCCTACGAACATGGGTCCGCAAATGAACTCCTTTCCGCTAGAGCTAGAGGCCTCTAAAATATGGGGAAAAAATTAAAAATTGGAATTGAGAATATTAAACAAACTTTTGAGATTAGAGGTAAAAAATGTTATGTGCTGGCGAATTTAATATTATTAACCAGAAAATTTGGTAAATTTAACAAGAAGAAATTAATCAGATTTATTTTGTAATTCCTACAAGAATTCTGGTTCGTCCATTTTCCAACAGACATACTGGTTGAATCTACCAGAATTCTAATTAATGCAACCAGATTTTTTTCTCAGTGTGTAATTGCTATCTCAAGAATCTATAATTATTTAATTCTACTTTAAGAAATTACAATCTTTGATTTAAAAATGTTATTTAACATTGTTTCCTTTCCATTCAAGAAAATTAAATCTTAAATCATAAGAATATATTTTTCTTGATTGCACTATACAGGGTGTATCTGAAATGATGCACTAAACTTTAGGAGCGTATTTTAGAGGTCAAAATAAGACTTTTTTCGTACGAACATGGGTCCGCAAATGAACTCCTTTCCACTAGAGCTAGAGGCCTCTAAAGTTTGGAGAAAAAATTGAAAATTGGAATTGAGAATATTAAACAAACTTTTGAGATTAGAGGGAAAAAATTTTAGACGACTTGGTGCTGGCGAGTTTAATATTATTAACCAGAAAATTTTGTAAATTTAATAGGAAGAAATTAATCAGATTCATCTGGTAATTCCTACAAAAATTCTGATTCGTCCATTTTCCAACAGACATACCGGTTGAATCTACCAGAATTTTAATTAATGCAACCAGATTTTTTTCTCAGTGTGTAATTGTCATCTCAAGAATCTATAATTATTCAATTCTACTTTAAGAAAATTACAATCTTTGATTTAAAAATGTTATTTAACATTGTTTCCTTTCCACTCAAGAAAATTAAATCTTAAATCATAAGAATATATTTTTCTTGATTGCACTATACAGGATGTATCTGAAATGATGCACTAAACTTTAAGAGCGTATTCTAGAGGTCAAAATAACTTTTTTTTCCTATAAACATGGTCTACACAAATGAACTTCTTTTCGAGCTAGAGGCCTCTAAAATTTGGGGAAAAAATTGAAAATTGGAATTGAGAATATTAAACAAACTTTTGAGATTAGAGGTAAAAAATTTTAGACGACTTGGTGCTGGCGAGTTTAATATTATTAACCAGAAAATTTGGTAAATTTAACAGGAAGAAATTAATCAGATTCATCTGGTAATTCCTACAAGAATTCTGGTTCATTTTCCAACAGACATACTGGTTGAATCTACCAGAATTCTAATTAAAGTAACTAGATTTTTTTCTCAGTGTAAGATTTAGTTACTAAAAAAGGAAAAAAGAAATTTAATCTTGAATCTCAAAAGATTGCAAAATTAACTTTAGATTTCAAAAGGAGTGGATCTTTAAAGTTAAAATTAGTAATAAAGTTGGCTCTCATCACGATTTGGAAGCACTCTGGTAGCTATCATTTACGTTAGTTACAAGCAAGTTAATTTTACACCTACTTGAAAATATCGGGGCTAATCGATAGATTATTACAAGACTTCGAGACATCGCGTGCTTTGAGCGTCGAGCTCTCGGGAACTGAAATCTTCAAGATTGCATCGTGCCTCGCACTCGCAGCTTCACCAAACTTCGTCGAGCTCTTCTCCGGATGATTCCAAGAGTTTATCACAGCCGCGGTGCGTCGTGCAGCTACGCTGTGACTGCTGTCGTGTGGACAGATGGTGGCTGCTCGATGGTACAGCACTAATGCTGATTCATATTCGCCACTGTGCATTTTATACGAGTGAAATTTTAGATTCTCATTATTTATTTCGAGAGCCTCAAGCTCTTATTAATCTTTTACGTTCATCTATAGATAAATTAATATAATATTTGAGCTCGAAAGTTTATTTAATAAAATTTTAATAAAATTTTAATAAATTTTAATTTTAATAAAATTTTATATTAATAATAAATTATTATATTAATAATATTGTTGTATTAAAGTAGAATTTATAATAATTATTAATTAAAAGAAACATATAAAATGCAGCATATTTTATATATGTATTACGTCAATTATATTTAAAATTATAAATTAATTATATTTAAAATATAATTTAATAAGAGAGACATTAAATATAATTCTTCATTCAAAAATCGAATTTTCTAAGAAAAATGCACTAACATTTACAATTGTGAGATTATAAAAGATATTGTCTTATTGATAGTGGAATTAACTCTCTCATTACTTGAAGATTTTTTTATGTTTATTTTTTATTTAAGAGAGAGAAAAAAATATTTATATTTATTTCTTTATTTATTTGTGGAATTGAAACATTCATGACTATTCACAAGAAACTAAGTATAGGTTGTTTGTAAAACGATATTCTCATCGAATGTTTCTTTCAAAGAAATGATGTATTGGCAACATTTCCGATATTCCCCATGACCTATTTCTCGCAGCAGCCAAATTGCTTGTACTTTGACAATAATGATCGGTTATTTTATGTAGAAGATTTTAAATCTGAAATGTTTAATACGGCAAAATTATATTTGCAACATTTTGTCGATAGCAAATTTGCCTTTCTGTAATCTTTCACATAATCCGATAAAAGCTTTCGCAGTTAACGGAAATATAATAAAACGAAATACAATACGAATATCTAATCAAAGAAAGAGAGATTCCCATTTTAACTAAAAATATTAATTGAACGTACGCTTTAATCATTAATTAATTCAAATGCATATGAGAAATATTCTAATGTAATATTTAAAATAAAGAAAATTCTCCAACTTTTTACATAGAAACTTTTTCACTTCATTTATACGTACACGTCGATCAATCTACATCCGTTTAAAATATTGACATTTTTGACATAACTAAGATAATAGGATTCATGCATCCAGATCAAATTTCCAGTTGAAAATTACAAACGTCAAACAGCACAATAGGCTTTCCTCTCTTATTGTTACATGCATTCACGATCTGATACAATTGAGAATTCTTTCATACAACGGCATAAAAGTGCTATCAGAAAAACGGTTAATTTAGGTTTCCATAAGAAAGGCAAAAAAAAAGAGAATTAACGGGTTAATGCACTTTCGATGTAACCCCAAAAATAGCGACCCACCCTGGAATTATCCGATAATAACGTGGACTCTCGAGATTAGCGTCACGCTCGCGTCAAATTAATCGAACTAATCAAAAGTTATATGAGGCGGGACGTGAGATTATAACATTCCATCTACTTAATATCATTAAACAGATATCGATTACGTTACTCTTGGTACAAATCATCCGCTTGACGATGTAGAGCCTGCGCATACTGTCGGTTACTTTCGCGCGACAATCTTGAAATGCTCGGCTTTATCTGAAGACGCGCACGACTCTCCGCATTTTCCACGGTCCGTTTGGTGACATCGAGATCACGCGCGTCGACGTTAAGCTCCCATCTGCCAGAAGTAGCCATTCATACCGCCAGCAGTAAGCTTCTCTCTTCGATCGGAGATATCCACGATTTGTCTTTCGGTCGGAAGTAACTATTGCAACCAATTTCACTCATTCAAATCGATTTCTCGTACTCTCTAAAAGTGAATCAGTGGAAATATCACTAATTTAAAATAAGATTTCACTGAGAATCAGTGAGTATTTTACTGATCTTCTGTGGAAACGCTTATTTTTTTGTTATTTTATCTTATGTCTCACTGATTATGGTCAATTAAAATAAAATTCACTGTAAAATCAGTAAATTTTGCTGTAAAACCAGTAATCGCTAGTTCGTTCATTTACCGCTACAATCGCTATCTCCCTCGTATTTAATTTTAGTTATAAGAATTATATAAAGTTTGCAAAGAGCGACATTTAAAATTAGAAGTATTACTTCGATTTCATTTCTGATGCAAGCTCAATAGAGAGGCTTCAGATATTAAATCGTTCTTTATAAGTCGGACAAATAAATGTCTGGCGACTTAATAAAAATTATTTGTTCGTTATCTATTTAAAATAACAAGTTCAATATGTATGTAATATAAATAAAATAAAATTTTTAATATAATAAATATTTAGTAAATATAAATAAAATTTTTAATTTTATATGAAATAAATAGAGAGATGAATTCTAGTTAAATATTACTGATACAATAACGAAAGAAATATTAGTGATATTGAGAAATATTACTGATTGAAATAGTCAAAATTATTAACTAATTCTTTCCATAAAGTATCACTGATTTACAGTGCTGTACTTATAACTGCTATAATCAGTGACTATTTACTATTTTTCAGTGATAATACATTGATTCACTTTTAGAGAGTAAATTAATATAAATTCATGAAGTAGAAATAAGGAGATGTGAGTCTGTTTTTTATTCTTTCACTAGACTGAACTAGAGATCCTCCAATAAGAGACTGGCCATTAAATAGAGAGTATGTTTCGTCCATGTTTATGCAAAATGTTCTGCGAGAATTAAAATAAAATGGATAGATGTAGCAAAATTTTGTAACAATTCGTCGGCGAAAGGATATGTGATAAAAATATTTGTCGCATGTCGTGCTGCATGGATTAAAAACATGAATCGGAAAAATTGGACACCAAATCAATCACATCTTTGTGAGGTTTAGTAACATATAAAATTAATTTTTAAAATTTTTCTAAATAATATATGTCAAAATAATTTGTCATATTTATTATTCAAATAAAATAAAATGTATCATTATAATAATTATTATTTATAATATTAATATTTTAATTTAAATAAAATTTATTATTATAATTTATATAATATTTCTTATATATTACCTATACATATAATATTCATTATTTATTTATAATATTTATTATTAATAAATATCATTTATATTTAAAATAGGATTATTAAAATATGAACGGGAGTTGCATAAAAATGGCGGACCAATCAAAAGTGGCCCCCTGATGTTCAGTCTCTTATTAGAAGGTCTCTAAACTGAACTAGAACTGAACTTGCACTGAATCAGTGCAAGCAGGAATAAAAAAGAGAGAGGAAGGAAAAAAAACACTCGAGAAAAAAAACATGGAATAAAAACACTCGAGATGCAAGGGTGCAACATGGCGTCCAATATTACAAACATTTCAAATAAAATTATGAAAATATTTATATTATAAATTTGGATAAATTTTAATTTTTATAATTTATTTATCAATTTTTAACACCAATTGTGTTATTTTTTTACCAATTTAAAAAACAAATCTTACATAGATTGAAAGTGGCAATAAAAAGTGTTTCGTGTAGAGTCAGGTTTGCTGAATGGAGCTTACATTTTGTCGCCTTGAATTGTATGTAAATGACAGATGGTGATATCATAGCACATCAATGACACATGATGGAAAAAATTATTTATATAGTCTTTTATTAATAATTATTTATATAGTAAAGTCTCCTTACTTTTACTTCATGTATAAACTGTTGACGAAAATATTATATTAATTAATTAATTACATTTATTAATTTATTAATAAATTAATAAATTAATAAATGTAATTAATTATTTATTAATTTATTAATTTATTAATTTATTATTACACAATAATTATTATATAATAAATTTCTTAAAAATTAAGTTTCTAGTTTAAATAGAGGAAATATTTTGCATAGAAGGATAATGTTATAAAATAAAATTTTATTAACGCGTATATATATTTTAAATATATATATATTAACAAAATAAATATGATTCTTTTAAAAGAAATAATTTTTTTGAAAAAAAAAGATAAAAAAGATATATAACATGAAGACTAGTGCAACTGCCAGAAGACTTCCAATAAACATGTTGTGTATACGAGAAATAATCTGTCTTCGTAAATTTCATATCTGCGTAAAGCACATTATGTTGCATGTACCTTGCTTCTCGAGTGATCTTGGCTATCCTTCTTGTGTTATTCTCGACGCAGTTTCAGAAAAATGTAGAAGGTACACACGACATGTTTCTCTTATATCGATCATATGTCAGAGTTTTATACCTCGGAAGGTTCTTATTAAATTCCGAAATACGCAATTATAAAAGTACATATTTCATCTGTTACATTAAATGATTAAATTTTCTCCCTCTTGTTAATCAATTATTATTTTGTTCCCAAGAGCATGGTTGCTAATTAATTATGCTCGCCAATTAACAGTCAGTGTACTGTTACGATAAAACGATACCGGAGAATTTAACCGAATGAAGCGGGAAAACCGAGGAGAGAGTGAGATTGGAATTTTAGGCGACGGGAACGACTGAAGAAAAAAAGAAAGGAAAGAAAAGAGATTTTAAACCGAAGTGTCGACGCGGTAAAAAGATTTCCGCTACGACGCTTCCGGTAGCTCTCCGGCCAGAAAGTTACGCAACTCGGGTTGAAGAGGCGCGATGTCGTTATTGGAAAACGACCGTATGTCACGGTAAAATGGACGTCACCGGATTGGAATGCAAAGATTACGAGGGACGATGATGCACGACGAATAAAACGAGGAATCATCATATAAGCGATCATGATCAAAATATCGATTTTAAAATAGCGGGCTGCGATATTGATTTCTTACACGGTAAAAAACATTTTGTATTTCGGTTAGAATTTTCTCGTGTAAAAATTTTTGTGTTAAATTTTTTAACATAATCTTATGTTAATGTAACATATTATCGTTGCGTTATTTTGACATTTCTGCGTTGAGTTAATATTCGCCGTTTCCAAGAGTTAAAATAACGCAATTAATATGTAAATGCACGAATTTTTGATGAAATATGTTAAAATGAACAGATAAGTTGTGTTATTTTTCTCTCTATAACAGTTTCCATATGTTAAATCGACATAACTCTTCTGTTATTTATCATAAAAATGTAAGAATAACATTTTCTTTTAATTAAATTTAACATTATAAATATGTTAATTTAACATAAACTTTATTTCCAGATAAAGTTTAAGTGTTACACTTTTGTGTTAACTTTTAAACATATTACTTGTTTTATTTATTTACATACTTGCCTTCTGTTAAATTAACATTAAAATTAGAGTGGATAAATTGGGACATGTGAAATATGTTAAATTTAACACAAAATTTTTTACTGTGTAGAATTTTTAATGTAGTAGTGACGTGATCGAAATCCTGGTCTATTTAATCGACAGTGCAATTTCAAGGTTTAATCTTTTTAAATCGCGACAGAGATTTAAAAAGTAATCGCTAAATAAATTTATTTTTGCGAATATTAAAAAGTAAGCATATACAGGGTGTCCCAGACTACCCGTAAACCCCTTTTAAAATGAAAATAAAGGGCATTTATAAGAAATCGCGAACAATTTTTAAGTAAATCGGGCACGCTCCATCAAATGGTGATATTTTCAACTTTTGATTTCGACCGGAAATACGTCATCCGAATCGGAAGTTGAATTTTTTTAGGGGAATATGGTACTTTTGATTACAGATGCGAATTGTACGTGAAAAAATAAGAAACTTTTGTATCAAACGTTTTTTCTAAAAGTGCCTCTGTCAATCTTAACATTTGAAGTTCATTATTTCACAGTTATTTTCAAGATCAATTTTAAGATTGTTATAGGCACTTCCAGAAAAAACGTTTGATACAAAAGTTTCTTATTTTTTCACGTATAATTCGAATCTGTAATAAAAAGTACCGTGTTCTCCTAAAAAAAAATTTAACTTCCGATCCGGATGGCGTATTTCTAGTCGGAATCAAAAGTTGAAAATATCACCATTTGATAGAGCGTACCCGATTTACTTAAAAATTGTTCGCGATTTTTCATAAAAGCCATTTATTTTCATTTTAAAAGGAGTGTGCGGATGGTCTGGGACACCCTGTATATTAAATAAAACAAAAGAAAGAATAATTTTCGATCTTTTTATATTAAATATGATTCCAAATTTCTCCAGCACAATTTTTAGAAATTTTCGCGAGTGAATTTGCAAAAAGGAGCTATTTTAATTAGTATGTTTTATAAATTTACAATTATATACGGAATATAATGTTAAAGAAATTTTGTTGCAAAATTAAAATTACATATATTATTAAGACTTGCTCTCAAAGAAGATTTTTGTCGATTATACTTAACAAGATATATCATGATTAATATATGGGGAAAATAATCCTCTTTGTTGTGTTCGAAAAAAATTATTCTTTGTTAAATTGTGTATTTTCTTTGTCAAAAGAGTAGAATTTAAAAAAATGTGAATTCTTTAAATAAACTGTCTTCCTTTAATAAGAAATAAAAACTACGAATAATTTGTTCGACAAAATCTATAGTTTTTAATAGCCTCCGCAAACGAATGAATTAATAAATGGTTAATCGATTTTTATTTTCAAAAGTGTCTCGATTATTCAGTAACAATTTACTTACAATGAAAAATACCGGGCGAACAATGCAACAAAAATACGCGTTTTCGCGTTGAAAATTGATCATCTGAATTCCTCAAAATTCACGTATCCCGGTCGCTTGAGAGACGGGGCGTACTGCTTCAACAGAGCGATCCTGGCGTCCCTTTCCGGGTCCTTCGGCGGGCTGGGCAATATGGTCCTTCGCATGGAGGGCATTTTGAACTTTCGATCGATCGGCTTGTAGCCGGGCATGACGGAAAGTCGTCTCTTGGCAGGCACAACGTCCATACGCCGCCACAGAAAGTCCACCTCCTCCTTCATCTCCTTTGGCATCAGCTCAAGGATAAGCTGCTGCCTGGCGGTGACGTCGTCAAAGTCGCCAATCCGTTCCATGTCCAACTCGTCTACAGCTTTTATGGCCCTTTCATAGAAATCTATCTGGAAACATTATGAGAGATCTTGAATTAACTCTACAAACGGGAAATATCTTTCCCTACATCAATGACTCGATTGTGCCGTGCTTTGACACTAGGGTTGCACGAGATACCAAGAGTAGTCTTGATATTGTCTTGTTTTGTCTTGAATTTCAAGACAAGATCAAGACAAGATTTTGAATTAGTTATCAAGAAAATACCAAGACTAAGATTGTCAAGATTATTAGTCTTGTCGAAGATTATTAGTTCTCAAAAAAACTAAAATATTTATATTTGTAAATGAAAAAAAAATCACTATATATGAATTTTAAAAAATTTTATTCAATAAAAACATTTATATTAATAAATTTAGAAACATTTAATATTAATACAATATAACATTTTTATAAATTAGAAATCAAACTCGCAAATTTTAGACATTAAAGAGCATTTCACCCAGGAATTGATGCACATTAGTGCTTTTAAAGATTTACTTTGTAATCTGGTTCTATTTTTTGACATAGTCAGAGTTCCTATTGAGAAAAATCTTTCTACTGGTATGGACGAGGCAGTTGAACTTAAAATGTCTCGAGCCATTTTTGACAATGTGGGATAAATATGAACCTGATTTTTTCACCATTCCAAAATATTTATATCTGTACATTCCCTTGAAGCCTGTAAATACTTATTAATTTCTGTTTTCCATGAAACAGAAATTAATAAATGTTTTTTTATGTAAATAAACGGCATTTATACCGATTACATAGTAATAATTATAATTATTAATTATAATTATTAATTTAAAATAAAATACAATAGTAATAATTATTTCAAATTATATTACAAACATGATGTTAAATATTATTTAAATAATTTTTTAATATTAGATAAAAAATTGTTAATAAAATCGAGACAAGACAATACAAGACGAGATTTTTGCTACCAATATTCACTCAAGACCAAGACAAGATTTAAATTTTTGAAAATTTTCAATATCAATACAATATTTTTACGAATATTGTGTTGTCTTGGATCTTATGCAACTCTATTTGACACAGATAATCGTTTGTCTTTACAAAAGACAGAAAGCATTTTTTGAGAAGCGCTTCACAATATGAAAAAAATTCTGACGGGGCAGGAATAGCAAATAACAAGAATGCGATTGAATAAAAAGAAGAAAGAAACTCATCAATAATATTAATATTCAAAGAAATATAACGGAAGCGCAAAACTGTGCGGAGAAAATCACATTTCGCTCTTAACAGATATAACGTGACTCACGAATGTAATTCGCGCAAAACATTATCCATTAAAAAATTCAAATTGCAAAGACGCGCATTGCTCCGAAGAGAATAAAAATTAATGCAAATTGTGCTCAAGATTGCGGTCGAATAAAGATCTTTTCGAGATTACAAACGAATCGGGGTTACTTGCCACTTTTCGAGATATCTAGAGGCGCGCCGCAGACTAATTTTAAGTGATATGTAATCTGGTATCGATCGCGATAGGATAAATTCGACCGCGAAGCGGACGAGCTATTACGAGCTATTACGTTTTGTCGCGAAATTGTGGGATTTTATTTTTACCAGATAATCGATACCGAGCTTTCTGGTGCACGCGAGCGCTAAAACCGCCGCGTCTTTCGCCTCGGTCCGATTATTCTGACGAATCTCTATCCGCAGTATTAGGTGATTGACGTTCAGGACCCACTCCTCGCAGCCCATCTCCTGGGCTATGTCGCGGCCTTTCTTCGCGTAGAATCTGGCCAAGTCGAAGCGGTGAATGTCGATGAGAAACTTGCAAAATTCATGATGCACCCAGGCGAGCTCGAGAGGCGCGGATGCCATGGCTAATCTCCTACTCTCGCAAATATTGAAAGCATTTTCGAAATGTCAGTGAATTAAATGAAAATTATTACGGCGGATTAATTACATGCATTTATTATTAATTATAATCAGAAATTGTACGCATAAATTATCTATTTATAGTGTTCATAAATATATGTCACATATATTTATATTATAATTATATTGCATAAATCATTATTATAATTATATATGCTACAAAAAGAAAGGTAAAATGTTATTTTAAATTCGGAAAAGAAATACGAGCTAATGAAGAATATATGCAAACAAAATAAAATTTAATTAATTAATTAATTTATTAATATATGCGAACAAAATAAAATTTAATTAATTAATTAATTTAAACGAATAAAATAAATAATTTAGAAAATATAAAACGAGAAATTAATATTTCGGAAAAATCAATGTTGCATGATGAATAAAATATAAACGTGTAATTCTGTTTGTATATAAAACTTGCACGAGAGGATTTATCAGCTATTCTAATATATTCTCCTCAAAAGGAGCTCTTATGAATAAATTATACACCTGCGAAACATCTTCAGCGTCTCCTTTGGATTCACAGTCGGCATCCACGCGAGATCGCTGTCTCGTGGCAATATCGCGACTCGTATTCCCAAGTGATGTTTCAAGTATTTCGTCTTTAGTTCCTCGTTGTCCAGACATGTCAAATTACGCGTGTCGATGTACACCCACGCTACCATTTTATACAGCGCGTCTAGACACTTTTGCTTCAGGGGAAACATCTTGTTCGAGTACGAGTCGAATTTATTCTTAATGCGATCGGCGAGTCTGATGAAAGAAATAAAGAGAAACGAAATTTTGTAAACTGAATTACAAAGTTTTTCAAAACTTTATATTCCGATTTCAACCAGAGGAAATACCATATTGCACGCATATCAAGAACACTGGTCAACACTCAAATTTTTTCCTGACATTTAACATGTATTATAGGCAGTGTTTGCTGTAGATAATTTCAAAATTATCTAGATAAATATAAAGATAAAGATCCGTAAATTTATCTTAGATGAGATAAAGATGATTTTGCTTTTACTTAATCTAGATGAAAGAAGAGATAATTATTGCGATAATCTAGATAATTATTTAGATATTTTTGTTTATTTTAGAAGACTATAAATATTTGTAAAAAATGTGACACAGATTATAAATGGGATATTAAAATCATAAACACATATTCTTTCTCTTTTCCTAAAGAATATTTAAATAATAGCAAAAAGGTATATAAATGATAAATATTTATTTATTAATTTATATTATAATATATTTATAATATATTTATAATATATTTATACTAATATAATAATAATATACTTATAATATATTAATAATAATAATATAAAAAATATATTTTAGACATTTTAGATAGATTTTTAGAAGCTTGCTTTAGATTTTTGGAAAACTTTTTTGCATAATGAAAACGTCATCTTAAACAATTTTTAGATAAGATGACATATATTTTTCATCTAAGATAAAGATAAAGATACTTTGTATTTCTTCATCTAGTTAAAGATAAAGAGGATCCATTTCTTTATCTAGATGATTATCTAGATAATTTTATCTAGATAACAGCAAACACTGATTATAGGTTATATTTAAGGCACTGATTACGAAAAAAATACTAGTTTAGTTGTATCAACTCTACCTTTTTTATTTATAAGATATTACAATTAACAAATTCTGAAATAGGTTTTCGATATTTTTGAAAGATGTATTCGTCACAAATATAACAAAAATTATCTGGATTATGTAAACAACGTCTCCGAGTCGAGGACATATCGAAAGTTAAAAAAATAATAATTTTGAGTCGAGTAAAACTCAAAAAAACTGCACGTGAGGTCTAAAGGGGATGATGTCTAAAAATATTAAAGAACAAGAGCTGTTAAAAAAAAAACTACTGTCGTACTCGAAATCAGCACACTTAAATAAGCCCAAAAACTGCAAAATTATAAGAGGAAAAAGTTACAATTATTTTTTCTGTTGACCAGTGTAATTCATTGATTGATTCAGATGCCACTGCTGACCTGAAAAAGCTAGGATAATCCTTGTTGATCCTCGCGACGTGCATGCGACGCAACAGAAAATCCGCTTCCACGACGATGAGGTTCCTGCGCAATTTTCGCTCGCGTTCAATCATCATTTTGCGCCCTTTCGGAATCCTTCGTCGCTGGAAGAGCAGAATGTAAAGCGGTCGTCTCATTCGGAGAAGTTCCTGCAGGTTCATCGCGTTTCGATGGCACGTACTTGCGAGAGCGAGTAGCTCGGCAGTCGAGATCTTATTAGGCGAAGCCACGGTTTCCGGATGGCTCACAATCTCTTGGAGAAAATCCTTATCGTTCGTCAAGTAACCCATATCCATTTTCTCTATGACGTGTTGCAGCCTTTTCATCCGCGCTTGACGTTGCACTTCCGGATCGTTTACTTTAAATCTTGCCTGATCCTTCTCGATACCTACAATTAACGCCAATCTATCCACTTGATCGATAGAGAAATTTTTTTAATACATATTTAATAAATAAATTTATGAAAAAAGAACGTGATTATTTTTCTGAGAATTATAGATTCGAAATATATTATCTTATATTCGCTTCATAATTACTTGGATGAATTTTACGGCGGTAAAACAAGATTTGACAATCCAAATATTTTCTTTGTTCCATCGAGAGATGGGATCTCTTCTCGTAAAAATCAGAGAGTTGTTTTACAAGATGATTATTTTCTCACCTTATCGTGGCTTGAGCATGAACAGCGACGATATCGGCGAGATTTATTCTAAGCACACGGTACACACCTTTGAACTCGTCCTCCTCTACCTCGAGCTTGCCTATCAGAAGCTCACGGTGCTCGCACAACCGCCGTATCCACGGATACAATAAGAGCAGAGCCATAGGCGACGTATTCCGGCCGATACAATCTTCAATAGTCTCGTACGCCTGATAGACGCCGTGCTCAAAGGTCATCCCATGTCGTCGCATGCCTTCGTAGGCGTGAGCCAGGCTAGAACCGAACTCACCGGTCTGGAAAAGCGTCTCCATCCGCACCTGTCGCGCTTTGTAATGACCGGGATCTGCAGCCGAGATACGAGCGCAGAGATCAAGCGACCGCTATTTTATCAAGCGAAAGACTGTTAATCGACACTGCGCTTAAGCGAGTTTATCTCTGGCACGGATCTTTATAGAATAGGGTTGCACAAAACCCAAGACAAGACAATATTCGTAAAAATCTTGTATTGGTATTGAAAATTTTCAAAAATTTAAATCTTGTCTTCGTCTTGAGTGAATATTGGTAGCAAAAATCTCGTCTTGTATTGTCGATTTTATTAACAATTTTTTATCTATTAAAAAATTATTTAAATAATATTTAACATAATTTGTGTAATATAATTTGAAATAATTATTACTATTGTATTATATTTTAATTATAATAAATCTCGTCTTGTATTGTCTTGTCTCGATTTTATTAACAATTTTTTATCTATTAAAAAATTATTTAAATAATATTTAACATAATTTGTGTAATATAATTTGAAATAATTATTATTGTATTATATTTTATTACTATTGTATTATATTTTAATTATAATAAATCTCGTCTTGTATTGTCTTGTCTCGATTTTATTAACAATTTTTTATCTATTAAAAAATTATTTAAATAATATTTAACATAATTTGTGTAATATAATTTGAAATAATTATTACTATTGTATTATATTTTAATTATAATAAATCTCATCTTGTATTGTCTTGTCTCAATTTTATTAACAATTTTTTATCTATTAAAAAATTATTTAAATAATATTTAACATAATTTGTGTAATATAATTTGAAATAATTATTACTATTGTATTATATTTTAATTATAATTATTACTATGTAATCGATATAAATGCCGTTTATTTACATACAAAAATATTTACTGTTTCATGGAAAACATGGAAATTAATAACTATTTACAGGCTCGAAGGGAATGTACGGATATAAATATTTTGGAGTGGTAAAAAAATTAGGTTCATATTTATCTCACATTGTCAAAAATGGCTCGAGACATTTTAAGTTCAACTGCCTCGTCCGTGCCAGTAGAAAGACTTTTCTCAATAGGAACTCTGACTATGTCAAAAAATAGAACCAGATTACAAAGTAAATCTTTAAAAGCACTAATGTGCATCAATTTCTGGGTGAAATGCTCTTTAATGTCTAAAATTTGCGAGTTTGATTTCTAATTTATAAAAATGTTATATTATATTAATATTAAACTCTTTTAAATTTATTAATATAAATATTTTTATTGAATAAAATTTTTTTAAATTTGTATAGTGATTTTTTTCATTTACAAATATAAATATTTTAGTCGTTTTGAGAATCAATAATCTTGACAAGACTAATAATCTTGACAATCTTAGTCTTGGTATTGTCTTGATAACTAATTAAAAATTTTGTCTTGATTTTGTCTTGAAATTCAAAACAAGACAAGACAATATCAAGACTAATCTTGATATTTCGTGCAACCCTAGAATGGATACGTTATTCGAAAATTGAACGAGAGATGAAGAAGAAAAATTTCGAATATAAAAGTTAATATCATGAATATAAACAGGTAGAAATTAAATAGAAATAACGGAGATAATTGCAAAATAAGGCATATCAGGAAAACAGAGAAAGAGAACAAAAAGCTCGCCGGTATTTATGTCGTTTTGCAATTCACAAAGTTTCTTGCAACCGTACCTATTTTCATACATTTCTCCGACACTTTTTCCGCAGCAACGTATCTCGTGTATTTGATGAGCGCTCTACAGAGACCGATTAACGTTCTAAGATCCTCGGTCAATTTAGATGCTTTTTCATAATAATCTATAGCCAAGGGGTATCTGCCCAGACTGGCCAGTCGATAGCCCCATTCACGATAAAGAATAGCCTCCCTGAAGACTTCGGGAACTTCTTCCCTCCTTGACACTGACATGACGATTTATTGAATCTTTTCAAGGAGAAGAAGGAGACAATTCATGCACGGCATATTACCAAAAATTAATATTGTTCCAAGAATAGTGATTCAAAACTTACCTATATCTCTCTTTTTTTTAAACAATAAATTTTTCTAGTAAAATATCGTGACTAAATATTTTATAGGATTATTTTTCACATGATTGCTTTTTTTATGTAATTATCATTTTTTTTAAATCACATTTACATAATTCACTAGATATATTATATTGCAATTTTTAATATTAGGTGACATCCAGGCATGGAAAATGGATGAAATATACGGTATGAAGATAGACGCATGTGAGCGAGAATATACGATTATATGTATGATTCCGATTTTCGCTAAATTGTTCGGCATGCAATATAATTTAATACAAAGCATAATGTGTTAAATTCCATTTGTTTCTACATATTTATGAATTTACACCAGTAGATAATAACACAGTACATCAGATGAACGATTTAATGACTCCATTGAATCGATTTGCAACGATATGAAAATGTATATATCAAAATATTCGAAATTATAATTATTTCTTTTCACGTTAGAAAATATATGTCACTCTCAAAAGCGATATTTGAAACGCCTATTCGCAATGATGTCGTTTTTAAAAAGCAACATCAAAGATAATTGCTATTCGCGAAACCAGGTCGCTTTTCTCCTCGCTTTTCTCTCGTTGAAAAACCACCGTTGGAATATCGTTCGTTTCAATACCGTACCGCGTTATACTTGATACGCGATGACAATTAATACCGCAAAAGCCACTAGGTATGCTGTAGTATATTTAGGAATGAAAACAGAGACTACAACTACGGCCTAATTCTCGACAATCGCGAGGAAACTCGGGTGCAAGAATTTTTTAGTTATCGCATTTTAAATCTCAAAGGGAATATTCAACAGATATCTTACATTTTTGAGATTTTGCGGTATTCATGAAAATTATTAAGTAAGGAATTTCTTATCACTTATCGTTAGACACCGCTTAACACTACAAAATATGCAAGAGTAAAAAATGTTGAAGAAGTTTCTGAAACCAAGCGTTCAGCGAAACACGATAGAATATCCTTTTCTTTTAAGGTGGTTTCTTTAAAGATGTTTTGTACCTATTTTCAAAATATTGAGAATTTAATGAAAATTGCACAGAATGTCCTTACATATGTTTAGAATCTTCAGGACAATTTTTAAATCGATTCATTAAATCGTTGACAAGTTATAAGGATTTTAATTTGTACCGAATTAACATGTGTTCTTATGGGAAACGTATAACCACGTCGATTCAAATGACAAAAACACATGGAAATAATATTCAGAATTTGTTGAAAATTTGCAAAAGTTTAGATACAGAGAAATATTTGGTCAAATAATATTATACAAGTATTAACTGGTTAAAAAGATATTAAATATAATTTAATGAAGTTAACCATGTATCTGTCACAAGGCGAAATTTTCTGCAAAAAGTTAATCATTTTGATTAACAAAATTCGAAATATTTCAGTAAAAACGCAATAAATATTAAAAAATACATCTCTGCACTGTAGCTAAGATCAAATTATAATATTCCACACAATTTCTTACTCAAAATACTCCAAAAGTGGATATATTCATCAATATTGATTTTCAGCTACTTTTTGCTGGGATTGTACATACAAAACATCCTAAGGATGTTTTGTACCTAGTTTCAAAATATTGAGAATTTAATGAAAATTGCACAGAATGTCCTCACATATGTTTAGAATTTTCAGTATAATTTTTAAATCGATTCATTAAAGCGTTGACAAGTTATAAGGATTTTAATTTGCACCGAATTAACATGTGTTCTTATGGGAACGTATAACCACGTCGATTCAAATGACAAAAACACATGGAAATAATATTCAGAATTTGTTGAAAGTTTGCAAAAGTTTAGATACAGAGGAAATATTAGGTCAAATAATATTATAAAAGTATTAACTGGTTAAAAAGATATTAAATATAATTTAATGAAGTTAACCATGTATCTGTCACAAGGCGAAATTCTCTGCCAAAAATTAATCATTTCGATTAACAAAATTTGAAATATTTCAGTAAAAACGCAATAAACATAAAAAAATACATCTCTGCACTGTAGCTAAGATCAAATTATAATATTCCACACAATTTCTTATTCAAAATACTCCAAAAGTGGATATATTCGTCAATATTGATTTTCAGCTACTTTTTGCTGGGATTGTACATGCAAAACAGCCTTAAAGATAGTATATTTATTCTTATCAATGTTATATATCTTATTAAAATAATCATGATTATGATATATCTCTTTCTTTTACTCATTCAACCTTTCCCTCTTAACTCTTCCAAGTTCCTCAATCATCTCTGCCTCTCTTCCCCCAATACTTCCCCATCCTAAACATTCCTTCCATGCTCCCACGTTTCCTCTTTTCTTTATCAAAGTAATTATTATCACTACGATTGACAGAAGACATTGCATTTTCAGAGTCCCGCAAAACAATCAAGACGAATCATTCTTGTAAACGCGGACCATCGGGTTAGAGGTGCCCTCGAGATGCGGTGATGGCTTTGTTGTATAGGTTCGCGCAGCTGCACGATCGCAGTGGCACGCGGGTCTTCTCCTTCGTCGTCACTAGGACCGTCGTGCGCGATCCTGACAGGGACGTCACGAGCAAGGAACTAGTATGCGGTTTCCAGAGATGGGCCGTCGCTTTCTCGCGCGGGGAAAAGGTAACTCGATCTAGTTTATTAAGCAATCCCTCAATCTATCTATTTTATCGACAAAACACTGTAATTTTTGGGTATGATATTTTTTATTGCCTACATAGAAAATTAAAAATCTTTTTCTACGATTAAAGTATAGATGCAAACGGACACGGGGAAGCCGATTATATACTGAGAAAGAGAAAAAAAGTATAAAATTATATGTTTATTTATCGACTTCTTAGATCAACATGGCGTCTAAAGCTATCACCTCATAATGACATTAGCCTTGTATAAATGTTTTGTAGCTTTTATGCATAAAACAATAGCATACTCAATAGCGGACTGCATAATAAAAACTTGAGGAACTGTGAAATTGAGTTTAGTAGTCTAATTAATAAATAGTATGTGCCCAAAAATTTCGGTCCGTATGTACCTGAAATGTTGGTAAAGTAGAATAGAAAACAGTGCATCTTCTTTATAAATAAGTAATAGAAAGAGATACGGGATGAAGATTAGATGAGAGTGCTGTAACCATATAAGATTTTGCCGTTCAATGAGGGATCCTCTTTAGGCGATCCTTCAATCTATCTATTTTATCGACAAAACTGTAATTTTTGGGCATGTGTCATTTTTTATTGCCTACATGGAATTGAAAATCCTTCTCTACTGAAAAAGAGAAAAAAAGTATAAAATTATATATTTATTTATCGACTTCTTAGATCAACATGGAGTCTAAAGCTATCACTTCATAAAGACATTAGCCTTGTATAAATGTTTTATGCATAAAACAATAGCATACTCAATAGCGGACTGCACAATAAAAACTTGAGGAACTGTGAAATTGAGTTTAATAGTCTAATTAATAAATGGCATGTGCCCAAAAATTTCGGTCCGTGTGTATCTGAAATGTTGGTAAAGTAGAATAGAAAACAGTACATCTTCTTTATAAATAAGTGATAGAGAGAGATACGGGATGAGAATTAGATGAGAGAGAGAGAGAGTAAGAGTTCGCCGTTCAATGAGGGATCCCCTTAAAGCTTATTTTTCTTGACAAATTTCCAATCAACTTTTAAACCTCTCCCAAGGTCCTGGGCGTGTACCTGGTATGGCGTGGCGCATCAAGAAACCTCCGCGTGTACGTGGACTTCACGTTCACGCTGCTGAATCGGGAGCACTTTTCTATGAACGAGAGTTTCTCCGGCAAACGCGTCAAGTTCACTTACGAGGCTCCGGCCCAGGGCAACCGCAGCTACATCGCCGTGGCTGATCTCTACAGCCGTAATTTCGCCGATACAAATGGCGAGTTTCAGCTGGAGCTGTCCATGGCGAATGTGCGGACGGTATACATGACCGAGGTCAGAATGCCGACGTCGGTGTTCTCGGCCGGCCAGACGAAGCCGAGCAAGCTGGAGACCGACTACTTCGCATTCGGCGGTTTCGACTGGAATCTGGTCATCTATCCGCACGGCAAGGATACGGACGGCTCCCGCGGCCAGGACAGCCGCGTGAGCGTCTATCTCATGAGACTGTCGGGCTTCGATCATCGATGCAGGGTGAGGTATAGCCTGGCCCTGGGCGAGGGCGATCGACGAATCGACTCGGGACAGATCGAGGATATCTCGGACGCGGAGGGTTGCGGCTTCGGCTGGCACACGCGAGTCAGATGGTCCGACATTGCTCACAAGGGCATGCTTCGCGTGTCGCTTGAGATGCTCGAGGCGAGAACCATCTGCGAGATCGCGGTGCAGGCCTTGGGCTCGTCGGTCCTGCCGGCTGCGCCCTGCTACGATCGCGACAAGCAAGCCTGGGCCATACGCGCCGATCTCAACTCGGACACCGTCAGACTGCACTTGGTGTACAAAGACATCCACAACGTGCCAAGGAATCACTTAAGGTATTGAATTACTATCTTTATCAATCGTAAAATTGTATACTTGTATTATATATATAACACATAATTAAACATGACATTAACTAAATATTAAAATAACATTTTGTAATAATAAAATATTATCGGAAAATTGAACCGAGTGAAACGTTTTTCACTTGTGCAGGTACGTTAGTTGGTCGGCATACTTGCTGAGGGGCGAGGGACCAAACGTCGTGGCGATTGGACTGCCCGGCGAACCGTTCAGCCGCTACTATGTTCAAGAGTCCGCTGATGAAGGTATCATCATGGAGACTAACGTGGATATGACCGAGGTGAAGGAGAATCACTGTCCGTTCCTCACAGACAAGGGACAGCTGAGAATCCGGATAGAATGGAACGAGAGTCACCTGCTCTTTCAGGCGACCTATCACAAGTACGACGATGTGTGTCGCGTGCACAATCAGCAGATGCGACGCGAAATCATGTCGTTGCAGGCGGAAAATTATAGCCTCGAGCGGCAACTCTTCAGCTATCAAAAGAGTCTGGCGTACGCCCAGGCGCAACAACAGCAACAGCAGCCGCACCCGAATCAGCAACATCATTCGGTGGTGGGTCATCCGGGCCATCTAGAGCGATCAGCGTCCAGCGACACCGAATACGCTTGACAAGTGGAACTCGAGTTACCAGTGTCACCAACCCCATCAAATTCTCGACGTCAGTTGCCAGCAACGACGATGGCGGTGCCAGAGGACGACCAGCGAGTACACCAGAACCTAGTCAGGATGATGGACCGGCGACTCAGCAACGTGCAGTTGCAACAGCATTTCTACGAAGAGCAACGGCACCGTCATCGACACAGCAACGGCAGCAGCGGTGTCTCTTCGCCCAGACGTAGCATCGATCGCAGCGGCCAGGAGCAACGCCGCAGCATCCTGCAGCAGCCCAGATCCAGCGTCGGCGCCAAATCCAGCAACGGAGGAAGCGTAGGCGGTGCTTATGAAAATCTCAATGGCGGCAACAACGATCGGTATGCCGGCTACTATCTGGGATACGTCGGCCAAGCGGCGCACAAGCGACGCAGGACCACATTCTGGGAGACGCTGACGGGTCTGGTGTGTTCCCTGGGCGCTCTGGCCTCCAGAGCGGCGAAGATGGCCGCTAGACGGGGCGATCCTCTCTGAGGGTACGGCCGATCGTCGAGGATTCGACGCTTTGGGATTACCGGGAGTGGGCAAACGCGCGGGAATGTAATGTGGAGCTCGTTGGAGTGTATATACAGCGCGTTCTGTCTTCTGTATGTCGGTGCAATATCTTCCCCCCGAATAACGGATTTTGAGAGACATATTGGGAAAAGTTACGATCAAAGGAATTGTATAATCTTGACATAAAGCCACGTGGTCTATGCAGCATTTCTTTTCCATTTATACATCTCTCTCAAAATTAAAGGAGATATATTTTCCCTTTTTTTCCTAATTAAATTTTTCTTCACTTGATTTCCTTTTTATTTAATTTAATTCAATCGCGAGGATAATAGAAATTGAAATTAATTTGCTTTGATAGGATTGGAGGAATTTATCTGAATTGCATTTTCTTGATTCATTATCTCTTACGAGATTTTTTTTTCTTATTATACAGGGTGTCCCAAAACTCATAATCAATCTTTCAAAGACAGATTCCTGGGATCATTTGGAGACGATTTTTTCTCAGCGAAAATGTCGATGAAGGCCATCATTTTTTTGCATGTTCCCAATTTTTGTCATCATATATCTTTGCGATTAAGACAAATTAAAATAAGATAAAAGGCATTTACAAGCAATCACAAGATATTGGATGTGAGAATGTAAATTCAATAAATATTTGAGTTGCGATTAAGCCTTAAATTAAAACTCAACTAAAGTAAACTCTATTTAAAATTAATCGAAGAATGTAGTTTTGTTAATATTTTATTTCTACAAAGCTTAATTTACGAAAAACCCCTTATTTCCAATCGCTTATAATTCGAAGATTATTAGCGCCTCGACATTTTCGTTGAGGAAAAATCGTCTTCAGACGATCTCAGGGATCTGTCTTTGAAAGACTGATTATGAGTTTCGGGACACTATGTATATTATATAGAAACATTTTAGAAGAACACGTTAGGGAAATACGCGCCGTATATTCTCCATGACCAGTTTTCATGGGAGGTACGCGAACGGGGTTTCCGTTGAGTCTCTTGAATGATTCAAGAGATCACCGATTTTATGAGACAGAACGTCCCGTATAAATGTAACGCGGTAGGGAGCAAAAGAATCGAGGAAAGAGGATCGTAGGGCGAGTCTAGGGTCGTGTTCGACTCTACACCTACGCACACGTACACACAGACACAGAGATTTACACACACACGAGTCTATACACGTACACTCGCGAACACAAATCTATCTACTTGTCAATTTACTAAAGAACCTATTTTCCTCTAAAGACTTTTTTCACCTATTGTGTACATCGCCGTGGAAATAAGAGGATATGCGCGTTGGCACCTAGTCGCCAAACCAAGTAACAGTACTGTAATTATCGTAGGATGTATATCAAACAGAATTAGAGTACAGTTAATGTTATATAAGCGAACAAATTCCAGAAGAGGTGAAGGAAACAGAGGGGAGAAAAAGAAAAACAGAGAAAGCACGGACTCGTACTTTTTTCGGGAGCTCTTAAAAAAAATTGCTTCGTATAATGCCATCGCTGCGCGATTTGGGTTCACTCAAACGCTTTAAATCGACTTTGTCTCCTTCAAATTGATCTTGTTACTATGAACGTTGAGAACGCCATCGTTACATAACTCTACGATTCCACTCAAGTTACGTATAGATACTTAATCGAAATATCGAACCAATTCTATTAATGCTGAAATGACTATCCGAGAGATATATGTGGATCAATTAATGAAATTAGATCTTTTTGCAAAGCTGAACCTATTTCATATTTTTATAACTAGAGATTGGCTTTGAGAGATTTGTGTCCATTTTTTTCCTTATACATCGAAACAAGTTTGACTTATAAATTTATACAAAAGTTAGAATAAAATTCTTTTCTTTATATTCAAATAAATTTTCTAAAATTTCACATTTTATTGAAAGACGTAGCAAAACAAAAATACTAGAATTTCATAGTTTTTGAAATAATTTCTGACTTCGAAGATCAGAAATATGGATTTTTAAAATGAATTTCTTTCACGTTCCTTTCTTATTCGAAATCAATCCATCGCGTACGTCGCCCAACAATTAAGGCATTTAAATAAAAGAAACGATGGCGTCATACGCAGCCTGCAAGCACAGACTGCATCTGCCTTTCGTGGAAGGTTAAATTCATCAGGGTAAAAAAAGAAAAAGAAGCGAATAAATCATTCTTCCATTTTACACGAATTTGATGTCGCGATCACGAAAAATCGCCTAATTATTTTTCCAAAGATTGTCTAAAACTTGTTCTTACTTACGCTATTACTAGGATTCCAAAAGAGGTCTTCGGCGAAGTGCATCGCGTCCTCATCGTGTCTCATCTAATTTCCTATTTGTCGAGTGCGTATCGTCGAGTATTTTAGAATCAATATCTCGGTGTAAACGTTTCGCGACGTTTCGCAGCCTAATCGTGCACGCAAGCAACTGGCGCCGACATAATGTCTCTCTTATTTATCAGCGATGTCGTATCTTTCGCGCCGAAAATTCCATCCGGAGGGAAAAAAATTATTATGAAGAGACGAACAAGTGGAGTAAAATTGGAAAACCTCGCGGTATTTTTCCTCCTTTGCAGTCATACTTGCTTCGTAGTCTCTTCATACCGTCTCTGCAATGCGTTCGATGCAGAAATGCATTCGTAAAAATCTGCAACAGTCGACATTTTTAAATCGTAGCGTTGCACGAATCGATATTTTATTTTCGACTCAGCTGCGGTATTATTCGGTATTATTTGACTGCCACTGCATTTTTTTTTATTACGAACAAACATACTTGAAATATACATCTGACGTAGTGCGAATTTTTTTTCTTCGATTTCCTGTTTTCTCAGATGCGACATTAGCATTTATTCTCGTATCCGTAGAAATTTCGTGCGTTGTAATTAAATAATTTTCGTTGTAATTAAATAATTTTGCGTCGACATTTCCATCTTATCTTATCTTCCCTTGCCGCCAGAACGATGCAATAATTTTCGCTTCGCCTCATTACCGCCCCGCGGTATTTTCTTATACGTGTGAGCATCGTTGCCGAAATATGTAGTTATATGCGAGGCATGTATCATCGCCGCAGGTACATATGTGGTATCTGCGACACCGGCAGGTAACATTTGATCGATACAATATACGCTGGATGTACCGCGCAAATACACGTAACACATTTATAGAACAATCGAAACTGTCCTGCGTAATGTGCATGCGTATGTGTGTGCCCTTAGGTGACACATCGCTCGCATTTAGAATCTTGTCTCTCATCCATACGGCACCTGCAGCGAACGTCAGTTTAAGAGGAGAAATCGTTGACACCGGAATCGCCGGCGGCATTTTCGTGCCAGTTTTGAAATTGAAATCGAACGGCTGAATTCTTGATTGATGCATTTATTTTCGCTACTTTGAGAGAAAACCTCTTGCGTCAGAGGTTGTCTGATTTTTCTGATAGAGAAAAATTTTTTTAAGGAGGGATTTGACCAATTCATCCTGATCAATTCCAAAGATCGATGGAATTTAATGTTGGTTTTAACATCGGAGGAAAATTTGAAACATTTTTATTGAGAGAAAAAGGAATATTTTTCTGTGAATAATTATAATTTTAATAGAGAGAGAGAGACTTTATTCTCCCTTTTTATTGATTAGTTCTTCGTATAATCATTAATTTATTTCATTTTTTTATAATTATTAATTTATTTCATATTTATACTCTCTAAAAGTGAATCAGTGTATTATCACTGAAAAATAGTAAATAGTCACTGATTATAAATACAGCACTGTAAATCAGTGATATTTTATTGAAAAAATCAGTTAATAATTTTGACTGTTTCTATCAGTAATATTTCTCAATATCAGTAATATTTCTTTCGGTATTGTCAGTAATATTAAACTAGAATTTATCTCTCTATTTATTTCATATAAAATTAAAAATTTTATTTATATTTATTAAATATTTATTATATTAAAAATTATATTTTATATTACACGCATATTAAACTTGTTATTTTAAATAGATAACGAACGAATAATTTTATTCAAGTCGCTAGACATTTATTTGTCCCACGTATAAGATCGATTTAATATCTGAAAACTCTCTATTGAGAATATCAGAAATTAAATCGAAGTAATATTTCTAATTTTACCTGTCGCTCTTTGCAAACTTTATATAAATCTTATGACTAAAACTAAATATGAGAGAGATCGCGATTGTAGCGATAAACGAACGAACTAGCGATTACTGCTTTTACAGTGAATTTTATTTTAACTGACTATAATCAGTGAGATAAAATAAGAAAAAAATAAACGTTTCCACTGAAGATCAGTAAAATACTCACTAATTCTCAGTGAAATCTTATTTTACTGTTTAAATTAGTGATATTTTTACTAATTCACTTTTAGAGAGTAATTTTATAATATATTTAATATTTATTAATTTATAATAATATATTTTTTATAATTATTAATTTATATTTTATATTTATAAATTTATATTTCATTATTCAATTATTATGATTTATTTCATATTTTCCCAATTCGTATTATTAATTAATTAAGTAATTAAAATTTATATGATGCAAGAGTGTTGTGTCCGTGTTACATATTAAATTAGACCGGTTAGTCTTGACAATGGTAATGGCAAAATACTTGATTGTACAGTCGAAAGTATTAGCAGTCTGATATATTGACGATATTGACGATTTCGTCGAGAAGATGAATGTAACAAAAGATGTAAGGCTGCGAAAGGACCAGGTTCGCGCGCGCGCGCGCGCGCTATAGTAACAATACATCGCGCACAATCCGTGTCCTAGTACTGCAGTCAATTTCATCGGGATTATATCGGTCCTGCCCGCGTCTTAGCGACAAGATTTCCTCAGCATCCCTCGGCTGGAATGGATGCTCCGAGAAAGCGTTCCTTTCCATCCGAAAACTTTCTACTCGAACACGCGTTCGTGACAGGCGTAAATAGCAGCAGCAGCAGCAACAGCTCTGACAATCGCACTTAATCTCTTCATCAACACGATGAAGATTGAATGTTTGTTCGCCGGGGCGGATTTTCGATGCTTTCGCTTCGACATTTGAGTAGGAATTCTGTATCTCGCAGAAAGAGCGAGGTCAAACTGACAGCGATTGTCGAATTAAAAGATAACGCGTTAGAAAAAAATGATAAAATGTAAAATATGATATGTAAAATTTAACACGAAATTTCAAATTTGTGGAAATGTTTTTCTGGTCTAGGATTGATATTTTACGCATATAAATTGTATCAAAAATTTTTGCATGTTCTTTTTTTCGTTACTTATTTGTTTGTTTATTAATATCTTCGCAGAAAGAGCGAGGTCAAACTGACAGCGATTGTCGAATTAAAAGATAACGCGTTAGAAAAAAATGATAAAATGTAAAATATGATATGTAATATTTAACACGAAATTTCAAATTTGTGGAAATGTTTTTCTGGTCTAGGATTGATATTTTACGCATATAAATTGTATCAAAAATTTTTGCATGTTCTTTTTTTCATTACTTATTTGTTTGTTTATTAATATCTTCGCAGAAAGAGCGAGGTCAAACTGGCAGCGATTGTCGAATTAAAAGACAACGCGTTAGAAAAAAATGATAAAATGTAAAATATGATATGTAATATTTAACACGAAATTTCAAATTTGTGGAAATGTTTTTCTGGTCTAGGATTGATATTTGACGCATATAAATTCCATCAAAAATTTTTGCATGTTCTTTTTTTTATTATTTATTTGTTTATTTATTGATATCTTTTATGCCAATTTTGACGTTATTAAATAACAAGTTTACGTCAATAATTTTTCCACGATAGATATTTCAGAAATTCAATCAAACTTGAATGGGAATACGTAATAGACAATCGCGAACAATAAGTGACGCATTTATTGCTCAGACACGATCACGGGTTTGTAAATGAAATTTCTCGTAATAGTCGCCGCGGTTCAACAGTTCAATTAAATTCAATCTCGCGAGAGGCAATGTAACACAGCCTATCTTTTTAACCGATCATGAAATAAGAAGTCTTTCTGAAATGAAAGACATTTAATGCTCACAATTTGAAAAAAAACATCAAAATTCTAATTTAAATTTAATCGATAAAAAGATGTCAAATTACATATTCTATGAAAACCGTCTTTAAAACTCAATATTACTTTTGCTTATGAATCAAAATATCAAAATATCGATATTTTTCTGTTGAAAAACATTTGCACCAAGAGTCGAGATTCTGAACAAAATTTGCAATTTTGATAGATCCGTGTATTACTAATCACATTTGTAACATCACTTATTTGAAGACTAGCGTAAGAAGGCGTAGACGAAACAGCTCCGGCGGACAAACATATATACAGAAAATAATTAAAAAAAAAAAAACGCTCTAGTAATATAGCGACAGTCGCGCAATCGCGCTTGTTAGTTTGTATGTACGAAAAAAATCGATCCGCGCGATCGATCTCCGAGTTCTTTCTCGCGTGCGTTTTATTCTACATTCATCGCGCTCGTTTACTTGCCGACACTATATTCGTTCGACACATACACACGTTATAATATATGTGTATATACGATTTTTCGATGTGTACATCGTCGTTTTACGCGCCATTGTGTCGCAGCCGATTCAACGATTCGCCGTTTAATCGATCGCGAAAATAATCGCGATTACCTCACAATCAGTTTGTGCACTTATATCGATGATTTTTTGACAAATTGCATATTAATTAATAATTAATAAATTGCATATTAATTAATTAATTGCATATTAATTAATAATTAATAATTTTGAAGCACTTTAGAAACATTCTATATCGGGATTATTCCATTCTGAATCGATTTTCTGCCCTCAAAATCGGGCGAATTTTTAGAACAAATCTGTCGATCGAGGACACAAGGTACACCGCACGAGATTGCGAATGCAGAATATAATTAAACCGTGTACATACATATACATATGCATATACAATATACATGATATATGACACATACGTATATCTGTATACTACATGTACATATATTTGATATCGCGAGCGTGCATACAATATTATCCAGTTACCCGTAAATGAAGGAAGAAATATTATCGAGTGTCAGCGGAAAAAAAAAAAAAGAAAATGAAACAACGCAATTTTTGTTTCCGCGAAACGTGATAAGAACTCCACTTTATTGCTTATGCATATCTCTTATCCGCTAGATAAAAGAGGAAAACAAAATTGGCGACGATACTATGGCGCAATACGAGGAAGCTTATGTCAAGTATAGTTCGACGTTTCCTTTTTCCACCTGTCATTAAAAAAAAAACGAGGACTCTCCTTTAAATTAATATATATCCGTTATATATATCCGTATAACTTTCGAGCACAATGCAAGAGCACGTTTTCTGCGACCTTTTTTCATCCATGTGTGATTCTATTAAAAATGATTAAAAAAAAAAAAACAGAAAAAAAACAAAAGATGTGAACGCAAAATACACTCTCAAGAGTTTTGAGACAAATACTAATGTACTTAAACCATCTGTGAGTCTGCCTCGTCTTTTATAAAGTTCTTGCTATATTCAATCTGTTTATTCAATTCAATATCATCCCATCATATCCAGATAATCCTTTTTATTAATATTAATAATTAAAAATTATAATGTTAATAAATATATTAATAATTAATAATTAAACTACATGATTTAATGTTTAGAAAAATATTAATTTAGAAATTAAGAGAAGTATTAATTTGGAAAAATATACATTTTTTTAAGGAACAATATTATTCAATATTAATTAATATATCTTATCGTGTGTGAATATTTTAATTTAAAAATACTAAAAGAGTTAAATGTTATATTTTAAATACTTGTTATATAGAAAATTTATTCATGTAGTTGCAACAAAAAATGCAGAAAAATTATTTTAATATAAGAAAATCTTTTTATTTCATTTTTTTAGAGTAATTCGTTCTATTTTTACAGAGTTGAATTTTTAGAAAAATATTAATTTACAAATTAAGAGAAATATTAATTTAGAAAAATATACATTTTTTAAGGAACAATATTATTCAATATTAATTAATATATCTTATCGTGTGTGAATATTTTAATTTAAAAATACTAAAAGAGTTAAATGTTATATTTTAAATACTTGTTATATAGAAAATTTATTCATGTAATTGCAAAAGAAATGCGAAAAATTTATTTTAATATAAGAAAATCTTTTCATTTAATTTTTTTAGTGTAATTTGTTCTATTTTTACAGTCAGAGTTGAATTTAAAAAAAAATATTAATTTAGAAATTAAGAGAAATATTAATTTAGAAAAATACATTTTTTTAAGGAACAATATCATTCAATATTAATTAATATATCTTATCGTGTGTGAATATTTTAATTTAAAAATTCTAAAAAAGTTAAATGTTATATTTTAAATACTTGTTATATAGAAAATTTATTCATGTAATTGCATAAAAAATGGGAAAAAATTATTTTAATATAAGAAAATCTTTTCATTTCATTTTTTTAGTGTAATTCGTTCTATTTTTACAGTCAGAGTTGAATTTTTATTTGCGGAGCAAATAATTCACCGTGAAGTGCGATTATTACAAAAGAGCCATCACAGCGATCCATCATATCGTGTGACCCGATTCAACAGGTGCTTTTGGTGGGGGACACGTTCCCCTTCCTTCGTGAAGTTAGTCATTTGACGCACACTCGTTCGAGATCATTCGAGATTTCGCGATCGCAGTGCACGTCAATTAGTGTGAAACACACACTTGTCATGGTAATATATTAAAGTTTTTGTCATTTTTATAAGAAAACTCTTGCTCCACGAGTGTGAAAGACGTCGCAAAAGTGACGTCACTCGTGCAATTCATCAAATTGCAAACGACATGCATTATATAACCTCAACCAATCCCATTCATTTCGCTGTAATTGCAAGTCGGAAAAATAATGGCAATTCTTCGTGGAATTGTCGACGAGCGGAATATTTCTATTTTTCTCGAGTTTGAGGCAAAACTAAGGAAGGGAACAAACTTTTATTAATGCTATATAATTTTATATATTTTTAACTGTCAAAATTTTTGTCGCAGGTTATGACAGAACGTCTGAATATATTTCCAGTGAATTATAAAGAGGCAATAACTGAGGAATGTGTCTTGCCGAGTTTGATTACGCAATTATAGATGATGAACATCAACGACATTGACGACAGATGATTTTTCAATAATCGAGGCATCGACGAGAATCGCTGATGGTCGAGCAACTCGAGCTTCCTCGGGTCGATCATCGTTTGCTTCAAGACATGTGGACATTCGAAAGCTTTTAGAATGAGATACGCATTCTCTCAGGTTATGGCAAGAATCTCTCAATGAGAGGAATGGAATATTTTGACAGACTGTCAACCCCACGAAAGAATCTCGACATTTCAACAAATTAATTAAACTAATCATTTCAAGCGATACTCGCATGATTATTTTTATGTCGAGTAATCCTTGTGATTCCGTTTCGACTGTAAAAATTTTGTTATCTTGACGATAACAAGTATCTTTTTGATATCGTCATCATGCCTTTGAAAAGAAGGTAAACGAGTTTTTTTTCCCCACTGGCAAGTCATTCGAGAAGCAACAATCAGAGATATTCATTCTTAAGATAATTTTAGAATACAAACACATTCTCTTTCTGAAACAACAGCAAGATGTTGACTCAACGATTGAGCAATCGAAGACTGTTGGTTGACTTCCTGGCGCTGATGTTTGGTCTGGGTGCTTGGATCGGTGTGAATGGCATATATGTACAACTGCCTCTTATAGTGCACACTGCGCCAGAAGAATGGAGCTTGCCCGCTCATATGGTGATGCTGGTGCAATTCGCCAATTTAGGACCTATACTGTACACTCTGTACATAAAGTAAGTCTTCTATTTTGCTTTAAGATGATTACACGACAAGTAATGCAAATAATTGTTTTTTAATTCTAGGTATACTGCTTGGGCACACGATAGATATATTATTTATGGCCTATTGAGCGCAGGAACGTGTGCTTGTATCTTATTGAGTTGGCTGTACGATCATACTTCAATTGTATTTGGTAAAGAACACTCGACTGCCCTCCTATCGCTGATGTTTGTGGTCGCCCTCGTTGGATGTACAAGCTCTGTACTCTTCATGCCGTACATGAGAAATTATCGTGAGATTTATCTGGTATCTTATCTGGTTGGAGAAGGATTAAGCGGATTCATACCGAGCACAGTTGCTCTAATTCAAGGCGTCGGTAGCAATCAAGCGTGCATCAATGTTACCAAGCCAGGATCTCCCATTCTAGAGTTCATCTCTAAATCAGATCCGAGATTCTCTTCTCAGATATTTTTTATCTTTATCGGTACCTTATTGTGCCTGAGTTTCTTGTCGTTCTTAGGCTTAAATTTTTTGCCCGTGGCACTTGGGGAAAGAGTCAAGCTCCCAAATAGTATGGAGATGTTACCGACTGACACAACAGCACCACCTAGCTACAAAACTAATTCCGGTTGGAAAATGCCAAAACATACATATTATTATTTATTAATCATGATGGCCATAGTTTGTTTTCTTGGCAACGGTACTCTACCAAGTATACAGTCATATTCCTGCCTACCATACGGTAGTGTCGCATATCATTTGACAGTCACGTTAGCTTCCATAGCTGGTCCATTGGCCATGTCCATAGGTTTCTTCATTGAAACGCCAGCAGTTAAACTTCTTAATACTCTTACAGCAATTATTTTAGTACTTTCAGCCATTGTTTTATACTTGGCGGTGGAATCACCTCATCCTCCCTTCCAACACTCATGGATAGGTGAATTTATGGTGGTTGTTTTATGGATAATTCTTTGTGGCTTCATAGGATTTGTAAAGATGGGCATTACAACTTTGTATCGACCTGATCCTGGAAGAGGTCTTTATTATACTGGTGTTGCGACACAAATGGGATCTCTATTAGGTGCGATCACCACATTTGGTTTGGTCAATTATGCACAAATATTTCAGTCTTATTCCCCTTGCGAGTATCTTATGGAAAATTAACGTAGCCTGTATTTAGGTCAATTACTTGCATATAGATCATTTAGATAATATTAGAAAATTGGATTGTTTTGATTTTTTTATACATTTTTTTTAGTTTTATGATCAAAATTTTTTATAGATATATTGAGATATGTTATTCAACAATTATCGTATTACCTTGTTAGAATTAATTATCTAAAATATTTAAAAATAGGGAACAAACTTTTATTAATGCATTTTACAATTTTAATCTCCTATATTTACTTAATTTAATCTCATATATTTACTTAAGTTATTATTGTGATTATTTCTTCATTACTAGTTATATAAAACTGAATAGTCATAATGATAATTGATAATATGTAGATAATAAAACACAAATATGCTACGAAGATGACTTAGATGATGTGCATAAAATTCAGTAAAAATATTAAATAATTATTTTTATAAAAATAAAAATATGTGGAAACGCGCGTGCGACACTATTTTTATATTAATATTTTAAAATTATATAAATTCCGTTATTAAAATGCACATAAGAACATTATATTTCTGTAACAATTTTCTCTTTTATTTGCTTTGTTCTGATTATTAGAAATTTGATAATATTATACAGATAATGAAAAAAAAAAATTAAGTGAAACACTCAATTTTTTCTTGAATAAAAATCTAAGTACTTAGATGTTCAGTATGTGAACATAGCTGTTGCGTTGAACTTTTTCTTTAGAGTTCCTTATAGATCTATATGCAATTATGCATCATATAATGTTTAAGTTAAACTTATGTATAATTTGAATATATCCTATTTTATGATCAGTTTTAACTGCTCAGTTTTATCTGATAAATTTTATTGAGTGGATTAAGATGGGTGAGGCAATTTTTTTATTTCTTACCTTTTATTATTTCTTGACTCTCTGCTCTTAGTAAGTTTATACAGAACGGAGTTTGCTGTCGTTACTTATTGTTTGGAAGTACATAACATGTATCTGTGATATTTTAATGCTTATTAATACATATTTGAATTTAAATTTTTCAACATCAGTATTGAATGGTCAATTTATTCAAAGTATGCCAATAATTATTTTTTTAATTATTGCCAGAATTATTTATATGTAAAGTCAAATATTAAGTGTTTCTTATTGTGCAGAAAATAAATGAAGGAATCAGAAATATGTACAATGAGAGATGATTTACAAGTGAACCATTATCTTGGACATGTGAAATGTGGCCACGCAATCATCCATCTTCTTGTAATCTTATTCAGTGTATCCACTTGGATTGGCATCAATGGGATATTCATCGAATTGCCGTTGCTTGTCAATATTGCTCCAGAAAGTTGGAATTTACCTGCGTACATAGTAATAGTGACGCAATCTGCGAATGTAGGTCCTGCGATATATATTTTCTTACGTAAGAATAAATGCGAATTGAACGAATCGTTGTGTATATTATGCTTATTGTGTCTGCAAGTTCTCGCTATGGGACTGCTTATATTCTTCCATGATAAAACAACTGTCATTGGTGGTGAGAAACACAGCCTGATCTTGCTTGTCTCGGTATTCTTTAACGCTTTGGTCGGTTGTTTCAGCTCTGTACTGTTCCTGCCTTATTTTCGTGACTTCGATGACATTTATATCGTGTCCTATTTCATTGGAGAAGGTCTGAGTGGTGTACTGCCAAGCATAGTGGCACTGATACAAGGTGTAGGAGAACGATTAGAATGCAACACAAGAGAAATAATTCCTCTCAATGCGTCCTACGTAAAATTTCCAGGACAATATTATTTCCTGTTTTTGACTCTTGTGCTTGTTTTGTCGCTTGTCGCGTTTATCATCTTACAATATTCTCCGTCTGTGCAAAGTAGAAAGAACTTGCGTGATCCTAACTTTTTCACGCAAACTAAAGTACAATTAGTAGATTATAAGCGACACAACGAGCTTGATGTTAGCCCCAATGTCTGGTACATTGGTCATACGTTATCAAGGAAAGAAAATAAAGAAGCAAATTGTTCTTTGTCAAAGGAAGCAAATAATTTATACATACTCAGAAAAATTTATTTATACATCCTGATTGGAATTTGTTGTTTCTTTAGTAATGGATTCCTCCCAAGTATCCAATCTTATTCGTGTCTACCATATGGTCAGCTTGCTTATCAGCTATCCATCACTTGTGCTCAATTCGTTAACCCACTTGCCTGTTTCTCGACATTCTGGCTGAAGGTATCGAACATAAAAATTATCAATTGTCTCTCTCTGATATGTTTAATCGCTGGATGCTATGTTATATGCATAGCTTTATTGTCTCCTGCTCCACCATTGCAAAGCTCAATAATTGGTGTAGGATTAATCGTGTTATTTTGGATTATTTTATCAGGAATCGTATCGTATTTAAAACTCATAATCGTGTCTCTTGTGAAACATATATCTTCTTCGAAGGCACTTTTCGATGTAGGCATAGTTATGCAAGTGGGTTCGGCGAGCGGTGCAATTATCTCGTTCGTTTTAATCAACTTTACCGATTTTTTCAAAGTGTATGATTCCTGCTCTGTCTGAAAAGGAATTATCGAAGAGCTCTATATAATGTGCGAATCAAAATGCAATAATAAAAGTAAGACAATAGTGCTTTAGAAAAAAATTAAGTATCTTTATATCGATATCAATAGATAATGATGTATCAATAGATAATGTTGTATTTTTATTTTTAAACAGTTTAAGAAGTGTATCTGTGAATGAAAAATGATGTAAAAGATATATTTTATATAAATAATGTCAATATATGGAATATAATATGTGTATGTTTTTCATGTTAATTTTTTTTCAATAAAGTATTTAAAATGATTGATTTAATTAAAATGAGAAGCTAAATTTCTGTAAGAGACTCGTATATACATGTAGTATGTATACGTGTGCATTTAAAGTACTTTTAAGTAAGCGTGCATACATGTATATTTATAAATTATTAATAGATAATGTTTAACGAAAACTATATTTTAATAGCAAAAGTATATTCAATTTTTGTAGAATTATATTTACATAAATAAATGGATATTGTACTTAAATAATTATATCACTTATAGTATATATAATATTATAATATAATTATATTACTTATATTATAATATAATTATAATATTAAACATAATTATAATAGAATGTGCAAATATTGAAAAAAATTATATTAGATATAGATACTTATTAATATAAATTTTAATAAAAAAAATAATATATCTTTATTGTATAAAATTTATGCATATATATGTATGTATATATATAATATATAAATTGTTATTAACGGAATAAAACTTGTTTGCGAATTTTTCTGAAGCTTTTGCATATTATCTCGGAAAATCCATTAGACACATTCCGTAATAATTAATTTTTTTTCCTCGAGAAAAATCAAATTTTTCGCGCGCAAAATCCTTCGTAATTAATTATTTATTATACAATAATAATTCGTAATTTAATTATTTATTTATTATAATAATTTATTAATATGAATTTTAATAAAAAGAATTCCTAATATATCTTTATTGTATAAAATTTATACAATATAATATAAATTGTTATTAACGGAAAACTTGTTTGCGAATTTTTCTGAAGCTTTTGCATATTATCTCGGAAAATCCATTAGACTAACATTCCATAATTAATTTTTTTTCCTCCAGAAAAATTAAATTTTTCGCGCACGAAATCGTTCGTAATTAATTATTTATTATACAATAATAATTCGTAATTTAATTATTATTTATTTATTATAATAATTTATTAATATGAATTTTAATAAAAAGAATTCCTAATATATCTTTAGTGTATAAAATTTATACAATATAATATAAATTGTTATTAACGGAAAACTTGTTTGCGAATTTTTTCTGAAGCTTTTGCATATTATCTCGGAAAATCCATTAGACACATTCCGTAATAATTAATTTTTTTTCCTCGAGAAAAATCAAATTTTTCGCGCGCGAAATCCTTCGTAATTCATATATGCATTTTTTTCGCGACACCCCGTACACACAGATGGCGTAGCTCTGCATTCATGTGCGATGCACAATAATATATTTACAGCTGTTGACAGCTATAAATGCGTATAAGGAGCTCGCATCGATGATCGTTTGACCGATTGATACGGTGATAAACGTCAGTGTTTAAGTTCCACGACTAATCCTGTTGATTCCTCACGTTTTTTTTCGAACAGATCGAATGAGAATATTCAGATTCGCACGGTGCACGGAGGAAAAATGGATGACGAGAATGCAAGTTGCTCGCACGACAGCGAGGAAGACAATGCACAAGTGTCATTGTTGGACCTCCCGGTCGAGGTTTGTACGAAAAGATGCCAATCTCACTTCTCATACGTCTTATATTTCTTACACATATGCGAAATTCATCTTTTATTTTATTGCTGCTGTCAGCTGTCACTTGGTTCCATTAGTCGCTTGTCGATGCAGTAAAGTGTTCACTTCTTATTCTCCCTTCCTCTTTCTTGCATATTTATTTTATTTGTGTGTATATTTCTAATTTATAGCAGATTAATTTATCCATGTATCATTTAATTTATCTGTATTGCGTTTCAGATATTCCTGCATATATGCTCCTTCTTAAAGGCATCGACATTAGTGCACAGTTTGAGCCTGGTATGCAAGCAGTTCTATCTGATTTTAAAGGATGACTCGTTATGGAAAGCGCGAATTAATCATACATGGCCGGATGCTAGCTATCCGCTTTTGCGTCCTGGTTAGTTAAAATTGATAGTACTTTGCATGACTATTCATTTTGTGAATAAATATCAAGCACTTCTTATCTTTCTATATCATTGTTTTGTATTAATTTTATATTAAGACGATATATAATTTCAGCAAAACCTGACAGACTATTTTGGAAATTGTCATGTGTTGCGATTGAGAAACAAAGAGCATTATGGAGAGAGAAGGAATGTCCAATGGAGAAAATAGCTACACATGCACAAGGCAGCACTGTAGATGCTCTACTACTGATGCATGTAAATAATATATTAGTTAAATATCTTTGAACATTTTTCTCAGAGTTGGATTTAAAGGTGTGGAAGCTCTGGGGCAGGCAAGAGGTGGAGACCCCATTTTTAAAATCAAATAAAAATTTTTACGTTGTTTAAATAATTTATTGTGAAATAACAAGGTCAAGCAATATGCATAGACCTTCTAAGTGATGTATACCATTCAATAGGAAATTTTACTCAAAAATTTGTGTTGTAGAAGCCCCTGTTGCCCCCCCCCCCCTAAATTCGGCCCTGATTTTTCTTTATAAAAAACTAATATATAATATGACTTTAATATACAGGATGGCACTGGTTATATTGCTGGCGCAAGAGATCGCAGTCTGATTTATGGGAGATTTGGTAAAAATACTTATGGATCCCAATATACTATTTGTAACATAGACTCTGCACATAATGGATGGATTTGGGATCTGACAACAATAGACAACACTGTCTACAGTTGTAGTTGGGATCAGAGTGTCAAATCGTGGATGCTTACCAATATTGGTCTTGTACAACATCATACTTACAGTATATATACGTATGTATAATAACATACTTATACAGGGTGAGCCATTTTAAGTTTTTGCCACCATCTTCTGTCCTCCTCGAAGTCAAGCAACTTTTATTTGAAACATTTTGTTGTACATTCAAAAATAAAAAAGTTATTGGGGTGGGTAACTTAAAATGGCTCACACTGTATATACAATAATGAAATATTAATTTCTAAGAAATAATTGTATTTTGATTCAAGTTATTCAAATATTATAATCTGTTTATCGATAGAAAGCTCAGAAATAGTGTAATTCTAAAGTCATTAAACAAAGTTCTTGCCTATTATATATTATTTATAATATAAATTATTTTCTAAAAAAATTTGCAGGGGTGTATCGGGTGCATTGCTGTGTGTGTCATCGTGTCCAGAACAAGCTCTTTTCGCGACTGGTTCATATAAGAGGACCGTATTTGTCTTTGATTCAAGATCGGGAGAAAAACCAATTACCCAATATCGACCGCACAGAGGAGCTGTTATTAAACTGGCAATGAATTCCGAATACATTTTATCTGCCAGTGAGGACAAAACGGTGTCTGTTTGGGATCAAAGAGCCGGACGAATCATGAAATCTATCACAGTAATATTACTTATTTCAACAGCATAAAGAAATGAAAATATATGCGATATCACAGATATTTTAGATTCCAGGTAAAGCATTTCCCATGTGCATAAATATGCAACAAGATTGTGTTTGCGTTGGGGACAGCGTCGCCAAGTTACATGTATTAAATCCAAAAAACAACTTTGAGCTAGTAAAATCTTATTCTACTGGACATACAAAAAGGATAACGGGAGTGCATCTGACACGCGGAAATCTGATAACGAGTTCCACAGACGGCACTGTCAGAATTTCGAGTCCTACGGATCCGCCGAAACCCATGGCTACTTTACACTCACCTTTCGGAGGAATTGCAAGAGTAAGTATCACACGCTATATCAAGAGAAAAAGATTATAATCTTTTGCATGAAATGTAAAATAAAGTTTAGAAACCCATTTTTATTTACAATTGCATTTTGCAGTCAGATTTTATTTCATTATATCTGAATGAAAACGATTTTTTTTCTGGAATCTTTTAAAATATGTGTCTATAAGTTTATAACATCTAAAGCTGATGTTGGAATAAAAAAAATATATTTGTTATGTATTTCATTTTACAGATGGATTACCAAAACGGCATTCTCGCAATATCCGGCAGCGAAATTGTAGTATATCGGCCGATGTGTTCAGTAAAATTAATGGATAATTAATGCATTTCTATACGCATTCTATAATTTTGTTATATAAGTATTGAGTTGTCCGGAAAGTCCGTGCGGATTTTTAAGCAAAATTCGAATGAAAAATTTTTATTGTTAAAAGTTATTTCATTCTGTGATATATGCACCATTATTTTGCACAATACTTTTCCATCTTTCGGGTAATTTCATAATTCCTGTCTCATAGAAATCTTGGGTTTTTTCGGCGAAGAAGCTGTCCAAGTAGTTTTTGAGGAGTTCCAAAGAAGCAAAGTTTAAACCATTAATTGAGTTTTGCAGCGACCGAAATAAATGATAATCCGAGGGTGCAATGTCGGGGGAATACGGTGGATGAGGCAAAACATCCCAGCCAAACGCCAATAATTTTTGGCGAGTCTGCAAACTTGCACGAGGTCTGGCGTTATCATGATGAAAAACGACGCCTTTCCTATTGATCAATTCCGGACACTTTTTGGCGATTTCTATCTTCAATTTATCCAACTGTGAACAGTACTTGTCCGAATCGATGGTTTCGTTGTCCGGTAGTAGCTCATAGTATACTATCCCCTTCCAATTCCACCAAATGCAGAGCATTACCTTTTTCAGATGTAAGCCTGCCTTCGAAGTGGTTAATGACGGTTCACCTCGCTTGCTCCACGACCTTTTACGCTCGACGTTATTATAAATTATCCACTTTTCGTCGCCTGTTATGATGCGTTTCAAAAATGGATCGTATTCATTGCGTTTGTACAGCAAATCGCTGATGGAAATGCGATCAATACGATTTTTCTCAGTTAAGTCATGCGGCACCCAAACATCAAGCTTTTTTATCATCTGGAGCTTGTTTAAATGTTCGGAAACAGTTGATTTGCCAATGTTTAACCTCGCTGCGATTTCCCGAATTGTGATTTGCCGCTCGGAATCGATTAAAGCTGTTATTTGGTCGACATCGGTGGTGACTGGCCGACCAGAGCGAGGAGCATCTTCAATATTCATTTCTCCTGAACGAAATTTAGCAAACCACTTCTGACACATGCGATCACTTACGGCATCTTCCCCGTATACGGCACATATTTTTTTTCGAGTTTGTGTCGCGTTCTTTCCTTTACGGAAATAAAAAAGCATTATGCATCGAAAAAACATGTTATTTCCTTCCATCTCTAAGCTAATGTCAAGTAAAAAGTTTTTAATTTATTGGGATAATTAATATCACTAAGTATGCGTTGAAATGTCACTAATCAAAACACGAAAGCATTTGATACATCACATCGACATAAACTTGTGAAATTCGCTTTTGAACGACATCTATTGAGAAATCCGCACGAACTTTCCGGACAACCCAATATATTGCTTTTTGATATATATAATATATTCATAATTTTCAATGAGACTATCACATAAAATGCGCGATTCCAGACTATATAATATAATATAATATACATCCAAAATTAAAAATGCAATCGATTTGATGAAAATGCATTTATATATATATATATATATATATATATATATATATATATATATATATAGAATTTTACATATCCTCTATACATAGAGTTTTATATATATATATATATACAGGGTGAATCATAATGGTTGTAACAACCTTTTACCATTAGAGATCAATTACCGACTGCAACTGTAATCAATTGAATGATTCATAGATGACAGCTGCTTGGATCGACCGTGTCTGCAGTAACGTACAAGCGAGTTAAATACTGTGAATTAAATAATATACATATTCCATGCATACTTTTCTAATATATTTAACTTTTTTATGTACATATTTTTCTTTCTACACGGTTTTTTTCTAATAACGTGATTTCTTATTATTGTGAAACGTATCTGCCACATAAAAAGAGATATCTTTTGCATTCGTGTATTTTTTAATATGATTTTTTTTTAAATAATGATTTTTTAATACATAGAATTTGACGGCGATTTTTTTCATTCTTACACAAATCATTTTAACGCGTAAAAAGAGTTGGATTGGTAAAGATACAAAAGTATTCTTTTTTTATTAAAAAAATGCGTAATTCTGCTTTCTACAAGAATTATTCTACTTATTATTAATTTTCTAAGTTATAACTTTTACATTCTTAATATCTACAGCAGAATATTTCTTGTAGAAAGTAGAATTACGCATTTTTTTAATAAAAAAGGAATACTTTTGTATCGTTTACCAATCCAACTCTTTTTACACGTTAAAATGATTTGTGTAAGAATGGAAAAAATCGCCGTCAAATTCTATGTATTAAAATACCATTATTTAAAAAAAATCGTATTAAAAAATACACGAATGCAAAAGATATCTCTTTTTATGTGGCAGATACGTTTCACAATAATAAGAAATCGCGTTATTAGAAAAAAACCGTGTAGAAAGAAAAATATGTACATAAAAGAGTTAAATATATTAGAAAAGTATGCATAGAATATGTATATTATTTGATTCACAGTATTTAACTCGCTTGTACGTTACTGCAGACACGGTCGATCCAAGCAGCTGTCATCTATGAATTATTCGATTGATTACAGTTGCAGTCGATAATTGATTTCTAATGGTAAAAGGTTGTTACAACCATTATGATTCACCCTGTATATATATATATAAACCTAATCTAACCTAATGTAATGTATATGTGTATATATATTCATTATTTTCCTGCTGTATTATATTAATTATTTGTATTTTTTGTTTGCAAATTTTATGAACAAATCATTCTGATGTCATTTGTTTTCTCAAATATGAGACACCCACGCAAACAATTATATTTATAAGATTTAAAAATACAACTCATATTTGAATAATAGATATATCCTTATTCATCGAAAAACTCACATTTTTCTCAAATTATCGTGTCTTCATGGAACGAACATTGTATGTACGATTTTTTAAATTTAAACTTTTTCAAAACGTCACGTGACGTATCTCATGACGTGTCATATGCTGCAATTTCAAGCGATTCGCGCAGCATTTTTTCGTAACTCGTAGCGAGTCGTATCTGCATCGGTCATCGTGCGTTTTTTTTTTTAACTTTACGTTACGAGTTTCGAGAGTTTACGTGCGCGTGTGCGTGAAAAATTTCGCGATCGGATTATCTCATTCGTTCGGCTCGTTTCGTCGCGCGCTCATTGTGCTTTCTAAAAGTGCGAAACAAGTTCGCGGTTTGCGGCCACGGAAAGAAGAGGTTAGTGTTTGCCGACATAATGGCGCCAAATTCGATAATTTAAGTTGTCGGCGATATCAACAAAAATTAAATCTTCGAAGACACGAAGATAGAAAAAAAAAACAACAGCAGTTTTCTCGTGGTGGAACTCTTAATTGAACTCGTGCCAAGGTAAGACTTTTAAAATGTCAAATATTAAGAGAAATATAAATGCGCATAAATATATATAGTTTTTATATAAAGATACAAGCAAAAATCTGAGAAGAAATAAATTATATATACAGGGTGTCCCAATTATCTTCCGTCATCTTTTAAAGACAGATTCCTGGGATCATTTGAAGACGATTTTTCCTCAGGGAAAATGTCAATGAAGGCCATCATTTTTTGCATGTTCCAGATTTTTGTCATCATATATCTTTGCAATTAAGTCTTAAATTAAAACTCAACTAAAGTAAACTCTATTTAAAATTAATCAAAGAATGTGGTTTTGTTAATATTTTATTTCTACAAAGCTTAGTTTACGAAAAATCCCTTATTTTCAATCACTTATAATTCGAAAATTATTAGTACCTCATTTTCGTTGAGGAAAAATCTTCTTCAGATGATCCCAGGAATCTGTCTTTGAAAGATGACGGAAGATAACTGGGACACCCTGTATATATAATTTATTTCTTCTCAGATTTTTGCTTGTATTTTTTCGTTATATAAAAACTATATATCGAATTTTTTTCTGGAATCTTTTATAATAATGTATATATTATAGACATTATTATAAAAGATTCCAGAGAAAAACTCGATTTCATCCAGATATAATGATAAAATCCGATTGCAAAATGTAATTATAAATAAAAATTCGTTTTTAAACTTTATTTCATATTTCAAAAGCTTATATATATAAAATATCAAGAGGAAGAGATTATAAGATTTTGCGTGAAATATGAAATAAAGTTTGAAAACAAATTTTTATTACATTTTACATTTAATTTTAATTACATTTTTATAATTACATTTTGCATTTTAACATTATCTGAACCGAATTTTTTTCTGGAATCTTTTATAATAATGTCTATAAATTTATAATATCTAAGACTGAGAGAAAGATCTCTAAAATTAGAATGAAAGTATATTTGTTATGTCCTTCATTTTATAGATAGGATTTTTAATTTATTATTTATTATTTAATTATATATATATATATATATATATATATATATATATATGTATATGTGACGAAAAAATACATGTAATAGCAAAAATAATAAAAATTTGAGACATTTTTATTTTATTACTTTTTAATTAAGTTTCTCACATATAATAAATCTGACGAGAAAACATTAAAATACTTAAGCATATAAATTTATATATATGCCAATAATTAAAATTAAATGCCGCCAAGTATAAAGGGAAGAGGAAGGGGAAATATGGCGTTTGTAATAAAATACAGAAATCTGTAATGATTTTTGATTCACCCGTTTATTCACGCAAAACAAGAATAGACTTAGATATCCGTGTCGTTAATTGTACCGATGTGTACATGTGTTTGTCCATATACATACAATGTCGCGCGTTATACGCATCCTTGAAATGCACGTGTATGTACATTACACACGCACATTTTTACATATTATATGTATATATAATATAATTTTACATTAATTGTGGATAGGATACGATTCCTCAGCCCTTTCTCATCTTCATTCTCGTATATGCTCTGAATTTAACAGTACATCGCGCGTAGATCTGATTGTGAGTATACGTGTTTATGAGTATTTTTTTTATATTCGCACGTGTATAGATAGTCAATACCTTTTGTCTCTTACACAAGTGAATAAAAAAAAGGGAAAGAAAAATTAAAAAGCTGAAAGTCGTGTTTCGTAAAAGTGTATCGTCCGCTCGCGCGTCCTCTCGGGAGGAAAGACAAAAAAAATAGGTAAAAGAACAAAACTAGAAGGAAACGTATCCGCGAATCGCAGCTTGTGCCTCGCATCAACAGGTGCAAATCGGCGAATTAACGCTCTATTCGCGATCCTTCTTCTCGGAAATTCTTTACTTTATCAGACGAAATTTTAGAGACACTCGATATATATTTCTTCTAATACAAGTGCTTCTGTGTCGCGCTACAACAAGAGATACATGTGAAAAAAATGTAAATATTTGCTGTATTCTTTCAAATTTATATTAATTTATATTAATTTATATTAATTTATATTAATTTATATTAATTATATTAATTTCTGTTAATTATGAAGATTTGCACATGTCGATGCTGTACGCAATTGTCACTCAATGTATTTACGTTACGTAAATAAGAATGCTGTTTTTCTCGGATGCACTTCAGGTCTGCTTCGGAGCAGCACTTTGGATAATATTAGTTAAAATTGTGCGATGTTTGTATATTATATATATTTTTATTATATTTTTTATATATATAAAATATATATAATATATTATATATATATTATAATTGGGCATTATATATATATATATATATATATATATATATATATATATATACAGGGTGTAACCGAAACTCATCAATCTTTCAAAGACAGATTCCTGGGATCATCAGAAGACGATTTTCCCAAAACGAAAATGTCGAGGCACTAATAATTTTCGAATTATAAGTGATTGGAAATAAGAGGTTTTTCATAAGCTAAGCTTTATAGAAATAAAATATTAACAAAACCACATTCTTCGATTAATTTTAAATAGAGTTTACTTTAGTTGAGTTTTAATTTAAGACTTAATTGCAAAGATATATGATGACAAAAATCGGGAACATGCAAATAATGATGACCTTTATCGACATTTTCGCTGAGGAAAAATCGTCTCCAAATGATTCCAGGAATCTGTCTTTGAAAGATTGATTATGAGTTTTCGGACACCCTGTATATACATATATATATATATATATATATATATATATTTTTTTTTTTTTTTTTTTTTTATTATAATTAATAAATAATATTTTTCTTTTTTCTAGGCATGAATAACTCATGAATGCAAAGAATGAATGTAAAATAAATAGAGTATTTATATAAATCTGAGCTTTTTGACTCAAGATACGCGAGCTTCCGAAGGCGAACCTGAAGATCGCAAAGATGGAATGATTTAAATACTGATTTTGGAATGGTTCGTGATTGTTCTCTCTCGGTCTCAGAGTGGCGATGATGTAAAGCACGGCGGGATTTTCGTTCTAAAAAATCCAAAACAGACGTGCACAGAAGAAATCAGACCTCAGGGTTGGTCTCTACAATGTCAATTAGTTTAAATTTTAATTCAAATTTTAATTTCAATTAAATTTAAATTTTTTAATTCAAATTTCAATTTTAATTAAATTCAAATTTTCTCTCTTCCTCTCATTCGAAAATGGACTTAAAAGAATATTAAAATCTCTAGATCTTCCTCGATTTGAATTCAATTACAATATCTTATCTTTTCCAGCGTGTGCTTCTTTTATCTTTGAAATATTGTTTAAAAGTTTCCCTCGAAGCTTCGTAATTTTACCAACGATCAGCCAATATCTCTCGAAATCTTGTCCACTTGACAGGAGGAGCGACTGATTTCTCACGTGTATAAAGTCCTGCATTCTTCTGTACTCGTCTCGTCTTCGTGACAGATAAGTAGTCTCTGATCGGATCGACTTTCCCCCGGGATTTGCATATCGTACACAATCGGGCAATCATCCAATTGGACGTGGCTTTGAGGACGCGCCCGCTTCGCCACCGCCCGTTGCTCTCGCTCTCTCTCTCTCTCTCACTCTCACTCTCACTCTCTCACTCTCTCTCTTTCTCTCTTTCTCTCGGTTAGATACGCGCGTTAATACTTTTGCTTCGTTTTATATAGATCGCTTATATAACTTAAGAACGTGAAAAAATAAATAAATACTACGCGTTTTACGCGCGACCGGCTCCGTCCACGAAGCGGACGCCCAAGGCATCGCTAAGGAAGAGCTATTGTAAAATCGTTCACCGAATAAATTGCAGGAAAATCTTCCTCTCTCTCTTTTCTCTCGAATAAACGAACGAAACTTTTCGGAATAAGCGCGTATATACAGGGTGGCCCCGAACGTTCCAGCCAGACTTTGAGATCTTATAGGAAATTTAATTCTGAACAAAAAATATCCTATAAACATGGGTCGAAAAATGCTTCCTCGAGAAGTTATCGCTCAAAAATCTCTGATGAAGGAAGAGCAAAAGGTGAAAAGAAAATGAAATAAAAGGAAAATGGAACTAAATAAATTTCTTGAAAAAAACAAACGATAAAAATAGAAAATAAAAATCTTTTTCTTTTATGAAAATAAATTTTTTTTTTCTAACCAATATTTTAGTAATAGCACGTAATAGTAGAAAATGAATAAAGACGTTTTTCAAGAAATTTATTTAGTTTCATTTTCTTTTTATTTCATTTTCCTCTCACCTTTTGCTCTTCCTTCGTCAGAGGTTTTTGAGCGATAACTTCTTGAGGAAGCATTTTTCGACCCATGTTCATAGGAAATTTCTTGCTCGGAATTAAATTTCCTATAAGATCTCAAAGTCTGGCTGGAACGTTCGGGGCCACCCTGTATTCGACTCGCGTAATTGAATATTGTTGGACATTGCCGGTGTATGTCTCTTCCATTGCGCTGCCAGTGCGTTCACCCGAGCGGAGACGTCGCGATATACATTGCAATAATAACAACAATAATTCTACTATATGACATAATAATAATAATAATAATAATAATAATAATAATAATAAAAATAATAATAATAATAATAATAATAATATTAATAATGCGGTCGATTTGAGTGACCAGTGGGCCTTCGATCTGCTCTTAATACTTGCATCGAGAAAAATACTTGGAAAAGGAGGATAATCTTGTCTTTCGTTCCGATAAAATTCGTGCGTTTATTTCCTACTAATTTTTATTTTTCAAACGTCACTCTTCCCTTGAAAATTGCACGAAGATTTTTTTTCAAAATTTCGACCTAGCCAGCTGATATCCTCTTCGTTCCCTATATCGCGCGCACGTTCCCTAAAATAAACGACTAAAGGCTCTCAATCTAATTAAACAACGAACGGATGAAGGATGGCGGTAAAAATATAATCGTGACATAATATAATCGAATAGTAATAATAATAATAATATTAATAATATTATTAATAATAATGATAATAATAATGATACAGAATACTACCATTATTACTACGATAATGATGAATGACGGCGATTAATAATTAATGATTAATCGAATTAAAACGAGTGCGCAGATATTTTGTCGACTAGAATTCGTATGGATTTGCTCTGTGTGTACGTGTAACGTGTATGCTTGTTTGTTGTATGACTCAATCCGTACCGTCTCGCTTCTCGTGTCTCGTTATTTAATATGTTATTGTTTAAACTTCGTTTCTTCATCGTGTTTAGCAACGACGCGACTCACCGCGAAAGGTCGCCGAAGTCCCCCCCCCACGAATTCTCTCATTTATATTCTTGAATATTAAGAATGACGTAAGTATTTCCGCGTCCCTCCTCCATCCAAGTCGTCCAGACGCGTTCATCCTCGCGGAACTTTTTCGGGATCTTCCGATCGAAAATTCAAAGATCGTTTTCCAACGCGATACCTAGACTTCCCCGAATGTTTTCCCGAGGATGTCGCGAAGTTAAATCTCCTAAGGTTCCAGATTTCTCGCAGAAAACGCAGAACGACGCCTCAGGTGGATACATCGTCCTCTCCATCTTTCTTTCCCTTCGAGACAGGAATAGGGGAATAGGCGTTTCCCTATCGATCTCTTCCTCGATTTTATGCGGATGCTGAGTAGTATTTCTCCTTCGTGGTGCGGCGCGTCGTTGCTTGGACTATGTCCCGTTTACTTCTTGCGACCTAGGTACCTGGCCATCTCCTGGAGCGTTTCCTTCTCATCTTCAAGCAGCAGCACTTGCATGCAGCTCGTGAAATATTCTGTGCTGAAGCACTCTTGCCTGTAGCGAGGACAAAGATTGAGAATAGAAAGATTAGTCTACTGATGAATGCAGAGTAATTACCGAGGTTCTCGGTGTCAGGTGTGATGCATTCACGGACCTGTTCGGGAATTGTTTCGATAGAAATTTCCCCGATATATTTTATTTTACTATTCGAACGAAGATAATTAAATAATATGATAAAAAAATTTGTTGATTTCAATTATTTAAACTTTTTAATTGAATTTTATATTGACTTGGCTTTAGTATATATTTACCACGGTTAATACATCTTTATTTATAAATTATGCACTGAGAAAAATCGTTTGATTGTACCAACACGACATATATGATTGAAGGCATTTTGATTAAATCAAACAAGAATTTCTAATTATCATGATAAGACTCGATTTCTTATAACTAGAACGTTTAATAGATTTTACTAGGATTTGATTAGTATTTTCTGGTTGAATCTATAACATTTCTTGTTACATTAATTTCTTTGCTCGCTTCTTAACTTAACTCGTATTCAATATTTGCCATGAAATGTATATAAAGAAGTAGTATTAACATTAAATCCAAAGTATATTTTTTTTCTCTTACGAGCAGTAGTGCCAGAAAGAGAACGCTAGCTCTCTGATTATGTGTGTTTGAGCTGCATCCTCTTCTTGCATCACTGTTTATCAGTTTAATTTCTAACAAACTGAACTTAAAATAATTGATTCAATAATCTAGATTGAATTTATGCAATAATCGTGTTGGAATTCAGAATATTAAACAGACTTTTGAGATTAGATGGAAAAAATTTTAGACGACTTGGTGCTGGCGAGTTTAGTATTATTAATCAGAAAATTTGGTAAATTTAACAGGAAGAAATTAATCAGATTCATCTGGTAATTCTTACAAAAATTCTGGTTCGTTCATTTTCCAACAGACATACTGGTTGAATCTACCAGAATTCTAATTAATGTAACCAGATTTTTTCTCAGTGTGTAATTGTCATCTCAAGAGTCTATAATTATTTAATTCTATTTTAAGAAAATTACAATCTTTGATTTAAAAATTTTATTTAACATTGTTTCCTTTCCATTCAAGAAAATTCAATCTTAAATCATAAGAACATATTTTTCTTGATTGAACTATACAGGGTGTATCTGAAATGATGCACTAAACTTTAGGAGCGTATTCTAGAGATCAAAATAAGACTTTTTTTTCCTACGAACATGGGTCCGCAAATGGACCCTCTTTTGAGCTAGAGGCCCCAAAAAGTTTGGGGAAAAAATTGAAAATTGGCTATATTATGAATTGCCTTATTATTTGATCTTAGCTGTATCCTCTTCTTGCATCACAGTTTAATTTCTAACAAACTGAATTTAAAATAATTTATCCAATAATCTGGATTGAATTTATCCAATAATCTTGTTGAAATTCAAAATATTAAACAGACTTTTGAGATTAGATGGAAAAAATTGTAGACGACTTGGTGCTGGCGAGTTTAGTATTATTAACCAGAAAATTTGGTAAATTTAACAGGAAGAAATTAATCAGATTCATCTGATAATCCTACAAAAATTCTGGTTCGTCCATTTTCCAACAGACATACTAGTTGAATCTATCAGAATTCTAATTAATGCAATCAAATTTTTTTCTCAGTGTGAAAAGCAGAATAAGAAATCTTTTGAATGTTACTTGCAAATAACACTTAAACAACAATTTGAGAACTTTACGTGTAATATACATATATAACATAATAAATGTAATGCTTTCTAGCGAAAGAAATGAACAGGTCTGTGAATTAGCAATTATTAGTATGTGGATAAATATCAGGAAATGTATGGGAAGGCATTATTTCGCACTCTACACCAAGAATTTGTACACCACAAGTAGAGTGCGAATCATTTTGCTTTGAAAAAATCAAAAACATTCAAAAATCACAAAAACATTTGAAAATCGCAAAAACGTGGATATCATCACCCTAGAAAAAGTTATTCTTACGACGATCTGCCGTCTTTCAATCACCCTGAAAAAAACGACACTGCAAAAAACATCAACGGGTTGCAAAAATTGTTGCATCAAAATTTAAAACACTCGCTTGTAAAATTCGTCAAAAAACAGTCCAAAATCGTCGCAGAGATGAAAATGCACGTCGAAGTGGATAATATGGAGTCAGAATGTACGAGATGATGCTGTATATCGCTAGCAGTGCTGCATTTTTCTCAAACCAAATAAAACATATAGATATGTATATGAAAAAAAAAAAACGGATATCACATCTATATATTTCATATTAATTTTCCAAAATTTATAAACTTTCACAAAGTTTGTATATAATTTCGATTGTGATTTGCAAATTCTCAATACATCATTTCAACATCTCATTTCTTTTTCTATATTGCAGCATTGCTCATTAATATAAGATTGCGCAGAATTACCTAATTTCATACTCATTATCTCGATGCGAAGATACTATAATACACGAGTATTCGTCCAGGGGATGGCATTAAAAAATGCAACGAAAATGTAATCGAAAGAAATGACAAAGAGGAATAATGAAAAATTCAAACGAGAAATATACAAGTACAGATATAAATCCAAATCGCGGTATCTATTTCTTACGCGACGTTTCAATTTCTTTCTTGAGATTGACTACATTTATAAATGTGTTTGCTCGATATTCTCCTAATTAAAATAGCGAATAAATTAGTTTTAATTGCGTTTTTACCCGATTTTTATATTGCAGCTTATCATCAGTCGTTTGCATCAAGCATCTACACATGGTTTCCGATCCATTTCTGCGATTGACAAAGCCAAACTCGACCACGTATTCACAATTTGTACATGTCATTACATATCGTGTAATTAAAAAGAAAGAACGCGACGATTTTTCCGAATTTTACTTTGTAAATATTAAACGCTTAATTCGCGCGAAGATTACGCAAACAAATTGGAATTTTCGTTTCTTTTCTACGAGCAGTGTTTGCTGGTATCTAGATAAAATTATCTAGATAATCATCTAGATAAAGAAATGGATCATCTTTATCTTTAACTAGATGAAGAAATACAAAGTATCTTTAGCTTTATCTTAGATGAAAAATATATGTCATCTTATCTAAAAATTGTCTAAGATGACGTTTTCATTATGCAAAAAAGTTTTCTAGGCAAGCTTCTAAAAATTTATTATTTTTTATATTATTATTATTAATATATTATAAATATATTATTATTATATTATTGATATATTATAAATATATTATAAATATATTACAAATATATTATAAATATAAATTAATAAATAAATATTTATCATATCATTTATATACCTTTTTGCTATTATTTAAATATTCTTTAGGAAAAGAGAAAGAATATGTGTTTATGATTTTAATATCCCATTTATAATCTGCGTCACATTTTTTACAAATATTTATAGTCTTCTAAAATAAACAAAAATATCTAGATAATTATCTAGATTATCGCAATAATCATTTCATCTAGATTAAAAGTAAAAGCAAAATCATCTTTATCTCATCTAAGATAAATTTACGGATTTTTATCTTTTATCTTTATCTAGATAATTTTGAAATTATCTACAGCAAACACTGTCTACGAGTGTATATCAGGACGAGAGCAGATGAGGAAGGATAATGTGGAAGAGCAAGCGGGCACGGTTAGTTCTTTATATTTGCGAAAAGCGGAGAAAAGAAAAGGGTGCTAAGAGGAAAAATCATAAACCAAAGAGAAAAGGCTACCTAAACCCCCGGATCGGCTCCGTGGAGTTGCTTGATCCACCTTTGGATCTTTCCGACCTCGTCCGTCAACAACAGGACGTCTAGGCATCCTTTGAAGTAGTCCGTGGTAAAACATTCCTTCCTGCGGAAAGTTAAAAGGAAAGAAACATGTAAATTATATTATAATACAGTAACATGAGTTGGTTTCATAAGCAGCGGCTCGTCGACCGGAAGTCCTGCAAAATACTCCGGAAACGACATCGCAAACTCTTAAATCCATTCCAATCATATCTTAATAGATTATGAAAGGATAGATGCATTGATTGAGAAATTGCCTGATAATTAAAAAAAATTTATACAAATCTTAAAATATTTACAAGCAATGCAATTAATAATAAATTAAAATAAATGAAAATAAAATAAATAAAATAAAATGAAATAAATAAAAATCCAGAAAACAAAAACAATACTTATATTTGCCGGAAAAATTCGATTATCCGGCAATAATATTGTATTTCAACCTGCAATTAATGGATACATCTATCCTTTCTCGTCATCGTCGATTTCTCTCGATAGGGCAAATTTTATCCCGAATGCAGCTGTAACATGCGGTAAATGCTGGAGGTAGCCTGTCAATCCACCCCTTTTTTCACGTCGCTATCCCGCTCGCCTGTCGTGCAATAGCTCTTACGCGACGGCCGTTAAGCGGCTCGGCACAAACGGCAGGTAGCAACGGATGTGCGTTGGCATTCGCTCGCACGAGCTATAAATAGAAGAGAAATCTCATTCCATTTCGATACGCGTGCCGACGTGTGTGGTGTACGCGCACATATATATACCGAGAGCGGATATATAAAATGATATAATTTTTTTTATCGTATAAAGTCAATAGCATTTAAAAATTTCTATATATTAACATTAAGGATGTTTTGTATCTACTTTCACAATATTGAGAATTTAATGAAAATTGTACAGAATGTCCTTACATATGTTTAGAATCTTTAGTACAATTTTTAAATCGATTCACTAAAGCGTTCAAGTTATAAGGATTTTAATTTGCACCGAATTAACGTCTGTTCTTATGGGAAACGTATAACCACGTCGATTCAAATGACAAAAACACATGGAAATAATATTCAGAATTTGTTTAAAATTTGCAAAGGTTTAGATACAGAGGAAATATTTGGTCAAATAATATTATACAAGTACTAACTGGTTAGAAAGATATTAAATATATTTCAATGAAGTTAGCCATGTATCTGTCACAAGGCGAAATTTTCTGCCAAAAGTTAATCATTTCGGTTAAGAATGTTTTGTATCTATTTTCAAAATATTGAGAATTTAATGAAAATTGTACAGAATGTCCTTACATATGTTTAGAATCTTTAGTACAATTTTTAAATCGATTCACTAAAGCGTTCAAGTTATAAGGATTTTAATTTGCACCGAATTAACGTCTGTTCTTATGGGAAACGTATAACCACGTCGATTCAAATGACAAAAACACATGGAAATAATATTCAGAATTTGTTTAAAATTTGCAAAGATTTAGACAGAGGAAATATTTGGTCAAATAATATTATACAAGTACTAACTGGTTAGAAAGATATTAAATATATTTCAATGAAGTTAGCCATGTATCTGTCACAAGGCGAAATTTTCTGCCAAAAGTTAATCATTTCGATTAACAAAATTCGGAATATTTCAGTAAAAACGCAGTAAATATTAAAAAATACATCTCTGCACTGTAGCTAAGATCAAATTGTAATAATATTACAAAGTAATTGCATACAATACACAGTAATTCCACACAATTTCTTACTCAAAATACACCAAAAATGGATACATTCGTATCAATATTGATTTTCAGCTACTTTTTGCTGGGATTGTACATGCAAAACATCCTTAATTTCTATCTTAGGAAAAATCCTGATAACAAAAATGCATGCAGATATAATATTTATAATATATCTGGCAGAAAAATTACGCGGTCGAAGTTGTTCGCGAAATATAATATTTCGTTGCTTGAACTCCTCTCACTCTTTCTCTCTCCCCTTCATAAATTTCAAATAATCCTTATATATTATATACAAGATGAAAACGTTCTGAAAAGTACATCTAATTTGTTTTTCTTTATTTCTCATTTATTTATTCGCCCGGAATTTCGGAGATTAAACATAAAATATTAACTAATTTATGTGGATATTCTTCACTGGAATCGTGAAGGAAATTTTTCTAGAAAATGACGAAAAAAAAAATCTCAAATCAATTGTACGAATTAACGACAAAAAAATGCAACAGAGAAATTAATCATTGATTCATTAACTCTTTAAGAATAACCTGCAGATATTTATACTTTATCTACTACTAATCTAATATCTACAGGTACTATTATGTAGATAAAATGTAAATATCGATATTCATCGATATTTATATTTTATCTACTACTTTTTTTATCTACTAATAGCTACAGGTACTATCTATTAATATCTACAGGTTATTCTTAGAGAGTGAATTAATTATACACACTATAATTATATGCTTTAATTATATAATTAGATAATTTTGTAAAATATCCGAATGTTAGATACAGTAACTCTTAACCAATTCGCGATAATGTATTATTAAATGATTAGTCATAATCACTTTTTGTTCATATAAAATTGTAATATTCTTTATAAGTTCTATTATTCTAATACTTTTTATACGCTACAACTTTTTAATGATTATTATATTTTTTCTGGATTCCGAATTAAGGGTACCATTTATCTATCCGGATTTATTTAATCAAATCAATTATAAAGCGTGCTAATAAAAAATATTTGTCCAATTGAAAATCATAGCTCGCGTAGCGTTATTTTAAATTTCTTTCCATTTCTTTCAAGATTGTCGCGTTTCTGTGATTCGCATTGTTACAAACATCGATAAATAGAGGTTTATCTTCAATTGACTTGTAGCAAACGATACAATAGCACGTGCGAATCCCGTCTGCCAACCATCACACTTCATGGAAAAACGTATGTAATCAGACGTACTTGCAAAGCATATGCAGTTGTGGTTCCCGGAACAAGTTGTAGCAATCCTCGCAGATGCGGTCCAGACGGGCGAAGATGCTTTTGTCATACACGCCCTTGCACTGGATGTCGAAGAAGGACCTTTTACCCAGCGAATGGGCGTTCATAGCCGCGGCATCCGCGCCCAGACCGATGCAAGATGAGATCAGCAGAAACGTCAGGGACCACGTGAAAATGGACAGCAGGAACGGGCAGGTCGTGGACGACCTCGACGACGATGACGGGGTCGACGTCGAACACGAGGAATGATATACGGCCGATGGATACATCGCGAACTCGCCGTTGGACGATGACGATTGGACGTCTTGCTGTCGATGCATCATCTGCAAAAAAAAATCAAGCCCTTAGGATACCCGTAGTTTTCCCCTTCTATTTTTTTCTCAATTGCATTGAAAAAAAAAATCATAGATTCCTCGAAGGAACTTTTTATTCTATTCGTGGATTTTTGAAAATGATTATATTTTATCGCGACACGAAAATGAGACATAAATATGTTTTTTTAGATCTGTTGTCCAGAATCGAAATTTTTTTAGCGATAAAAAATTGATAAGAATGCTAATTACGTCTACATTAAACTAAAACGCTTCTTATAAGCTTTGCGTTTTTATTAAGTGTTTGCATCAGAAAGAGAATTTTTAACTTTAATTATAACTTGCAAAAACTGACACTTATTGACAGTAGTTGCATATTTATAAAGACTATTTATTCCCACTCTCGCACTATTTACTCAGATAAGATAAATGGTTTAAAAAAACGCAATAAAAATTCTATCTATTACAATTGACACTGATAATATAAATTTCAATCGAAACTTAATTGCAGAAAGTAAATCACCTTAGACGAATATTTTGTCTTTGCTCTTTATTTTCTGTTGATTTATTAATCTTTCGCTTTTTTCCGTTATTTATAAATTCCTTACTTATTTATAAAATATATTCTTTTAATTATCATATATTAATAATTAAAATAAAGTGAAAGAAGTAATTAAAAACGACTACACTGGCAAATTTTATTAAAGAATCACGACGTTTCGACCATGGTTTTGGTCCTTTTCGAGTGAACTACAAAAAATTATTTCCAGTATTACACAAAAAAAATAAATTACATTGAAATAAAAAATGAAATAAAAAATGAGCGGCACGTTAAATACATACAATAATTTAGTTAGCTATTCTATCGTGAGAAATAAGGAAATCACTTCGTCATTATTTTACATAATGAAAAACACGTGAGAAAGAGAGAAATCGCCGAAATGTTTTTTATAAAAAAGTTTGACAACACGATCAACTTACAAAAAGACACTGAAAATTTAAACAATATTTATGATAGACTAATAAAGGTTGTCTAGTCTTTCTCTGTGTGTTGATGGAGACGTTGACATGATAATCTTGACGAAGTGATTTCCTTATTTCTCACGATAGAATAGCTAACTAAATTATTGTATGTATTTAACTTGCCGCTCATTTTTTATTTCAAAATCAATTTATTTTTTTTGTGTAATACTGGAAATAATTTTTTGTAGTTCACTCGAAAAGGACCAAAACCATGGTCGAAACGTCGTGATTCACTTTAATAAAATTTGCCAGTGTGGTCGTTTTTAATTACTTCTTTTATTTTATTTACTGGCGACCTTCAAGAGTTTAATGTTAAAATAAAGTGAGATTAAGAATTATTCTTATTTTATTTTAGAAAACATCTTATTCCAGCAAAATACATTTGTTTATTAATACATATTTGATAAATAAAGATATATTAATTAAAAGAATAATAAAGTATCTTCTATAATTTCTTATGATGTTTTTCACAATTTTTTCGATCAGCTCGATCATAATTTCTTTCGATGACTGTTCTGTGAACTATGAATTTAATTCGATTACTTCAGAGATACGTCATTGATCCGGATGTAATCCGGATTAGTCTAATTTAAAGTATATCACTGCTCAGTCCGATAAGATATCGTCCCTCAGATACAAGTGTGATAGAGTAATACATTGTATCTCTAAAAGTGAATCAGTCAAATATCACTGTAATCAGTGCTGTACGTAATAAATAATTGCTTATGTACGTATAATCCACATTTTACACTTGTCTGAATTATTAAAATATGATTGATAGATAATGAAAAAATATGGATCTAATCTAACCATCAATAAGAAGATATTAGATATATATCTGCAATCTTATTTAAACACATTTTTAATGTCTTAAACCATTTTTCATGCGATTTAGAAGATAAGAAATCAATATAAATTTATACGTAATCGTCAACAAGATTCACTTTTTACTTGAAAAACAGAATAGTTAATTAAAATTACGATAAGCAAATAAGAAGTTAAATTAAAATACGATAATGCAGCAATGAAAGCATGAAAATAATTCCAGTTATCCCAAATGTAATTTATATATGCTTCGCACTAAAAAATTATTTGCTCATTGGTTTCAATACATCGACGAATTTCAATGATTTTTAATCGGTTTTTTCTGGTGACAAAAGTGCGGGCGACGTCAAAACCATATTCCAAAATTAACGAATAATATATAATATAATTATTTATAATGTAATTATATAATATAATTATATATAATAATTTATAATATAATTTTTTCCCTTTTTCTTTAAAAGCTAATATTTAAATTTTAACGAAAAATTTCAAAGAACAAGCGAAATGAAATTATGCGTTAATTTTGTCTAGGAGTATAGGTATCTTAGTTAAATAAAATTGAGGCGTGAAAAGAGTCTCTTTTCAAATCTTTTCAAGAAACATCTTCTCATTTCTCCATTTCTCTTTCATTTTGCAATTCCATTTCCTTCAATTAGGACGCTTAGCCGAAACGACTCAGAACGACGCCCTTAAAAATTGCTTTTTTGCTTAAGAGTAACCAGTGTTTGCTGTAGATAATTTCAAAATTATCTAGATAAAAATAAAGATAAAAATATGTAAATTTATCTTAGATGAGATAAAGATGATTTTGCTTTTACTTAATCTAGATGAAAGATGAGATAATTATTGCGATAATCTAGATAATTATCTAGATATTTTTGTTTATTTTAGAAGACTATAAATATTTGTAAAAAATGTGACGCAGATTATAAATGGGATATTAAAATCATAAACACATTCTTTCTCGTTTCCTAAAGAATATTTAATATTATAAAGAAATAATAGCAAAAAGGTATATAAATGATATGATAAATATTTATTTATTAATTTATATTTATAATATATTTATAATATATTTATAATGATAATAAATATATTTTAGATATTTTAGATAGATTTTTAGAAGCTTGCCTGGAAAACTTTTTTGCATAATGAAAACGTCATCTTAGACAATTTTTAGATAAGATGACATATATTTTTCATCTAAGATAAAGCTAAAGATACTTTGTATTTCTTCATCTAGCTAAAGATAAAGATGATCCATTTCTTTATCTAGATGATTATCTAGATAATTTTATCTAGATACCAGCAAACACTGAGAGTAACTGAAAATTCGATTTTGCGCACACGTTGTGCGAGAACGCGAGATCGCTCGTTACACGAATGTAAAAGATGAACACGTAAACATTCGGATATATACCGATATGCCTCCCGTCACCTTTTGCGCCCTCCTCCTCCCGGCTCGCATACACCAGGTTGAGATGTAAAGCAACTCTTAACCAGTCCTGCAGCAGTCGCTGTGAATGGACCACACGCAGGTAGGCCCCACCTGTAAACGTCCTCAACCGACAACTTCATTAACCGGGGCCCCAGCGCACGATCCACCGCGAGAGGGGGGCTTTCCTTTCTCACTCCCTTCTCCTCCCCTCCCGACCCCCCCCCAGCCCCTCTCGCTCGTTCTCTCTCTTCGTCCGGGTATCATCGTGCCATCCTCGCCTCATCTCTCGCCCTTCCTTCCTCACCCCATCGCCACCTGCACACACGGAGAGAGCGAGCGTTTCGCCCGGTTTCTTCTTTTTTCGGAACATAATCACCGCTCCCGGGTGGGATCTTATTTTTAGCCGCCAGGACGATTCTCGGAACTCTCCGGCAACCGCTCTCCTCTATATATCGGCGCCTCCACTTGGTAATTGGCCGTAGGCCGATAATTTGCCCCCAAAGTCGCCCGGATCCCGAGATCGTTAAGACTCTCCTCTTTGTAGTTCTCTCGTTTTCTTCTTCTTCTTTTCTCTCTCTCTCTCTCTCTCTCTCTCTCGTTTTCTACATCCTCCATAAGGATTTCCAAAGGCCTCCGCGAGAGAGAATGGATACATTCCGAGATCTGTCCCGTTCTTTTTTCTCGGAACGGATATGTCCAGTGTGAATCAAGATCAGCGGCGTTGTATCAAAGCCGGACTCTCTCCGTCTCTTTCTCTTGGACTCTCTACTTAATTGATTTTGTGAAACACGAATCCGTCGGTGGCATCACGGCTATCGTACAATAACAATGATTAACTAGGATTGCCAATTATAAGTGAAGTGAAAGTAAATATTTGTTTTCGCAAACGTTATGTCTTATATCACACTATCTGCTTCAAGTATATTAAAGTATTTATAAGATGGGAAATGTATATTATTAGTGTATTAAAGTATTTATATGATGTGAAATATATGTCTTAAAGATGCATAAAATAGAAAATATAAATATCTCATTCATCTCAAATAAAGCTAATGTAAGCTGTAATTTAACATACAAGTCTTATTAAATAAAAAATATTATTGATTTTTAATCACAATTTTACAACAAAGTATTAAATAAAGAATGTATTCAAAATTATTATTATTATAAATTATTATAATATTATTATATTAAATTATTATTATATTAAAAATTGGCAATTCAATGATATCGTTTCAAATAGCCCAATTGACGAACGCGATTCGTATCGTTAATATTTAAACAAGATTTTTCATTTAAAAATGTCTTTATATTGTATCCATATTTTTTCCCTATACTAAGAAAAAAATTGTAAACTTGACTAAATATTTTCAATTAATTATTATCTTTTAATAGAAATATTCAAGTGTTTAAGTTAAATAGATATAATATATGTTAGATTTAACATGTATTTAATTTGAATACTTAAATATTTCAATTAAAAAAATAATAATTCATTGAAAATACTTACACTGAGAAAAAAATCTGGTTGGATTAATTAGAATTCTGGTAGATTCAACCAGTATGTCTGTTGGAAAATGGACGAATCAGAATTCTTGTAGGAATTACCAGATGAATCTGATTAATTTCTTCCTGTTAAATTTACCAAATTTTCTGGTTAATAATACTAAACTCCCCAGCACCAAGTCGTCTAAAATTTTTTCCATCTAATCTCAAAAGTCTG